GCACTGCTGTCGAGTATAAAGATAACTGTAACTGTATATACAAATCTGGATACAGATTTTCATTTTGCTCAGGCCCATTAATTGAGAAAACTTCCTAAAAAGCAATCATTGAAGCCATTTTTCACACACAAATGTCATATTTCTTGGTTGTAAAGAGAAAATCTAGATTTTACGCCATTAGATTGTGGTTCAAATTACGTGTTATGGTTAACATTTTATCAACACGCTCATAGTTGACTGAAAAAAAATAGAAATTTATTGAAAATAAGAAAAATAATGAGTTGCAGGCCATTAGATTTAGCAACAAGGGAAACTATTTTGTAGATAGTTTTAACATTTAGTTTAGTCTTTTTATATATTTTTTAAGCAAAAATGTCTTGTGATTGCATTTTTCACTATTTTTATTTTATTTTTAATTGATCCGTCACTGATGACCACAACTAATCGATGGTCAAACTGATTATTTGTTGTTGCCCTACAGAATTAAACACAAGTTTTTTGCATCATTGGACGGTGCGTTTAAATCAGCGCGTGTTTAACTTGAGTCAAACTGTCTACCAAAGCAGTGACGGCATCAACAAGCCCGTGTGGCGTTTGAGAGCTATTAGCACGATCCAACAATGGGGTCAGGCAATTCCACCGGCGTCAACAGCTAAACCAAGCGGCCACTAGTTAACCAAGTGTAGCTCAGTGTGTGTGTGTGTGTGTGTGTGTGTGTGTGTGTGTGTGTGTCAGTGGAGAACAGAAAAGAGACTGATCCCTGGAGAACAGCAACAGTGGATGAGGTGTCTACCTTAATCCCCTTTTAGTCCTGTTATTTCCCCAAGGCCACTGCATTGTGATGCAGAGTCACTCAGCCACCTCCCAAAGTGATGTGTGCGTGGTTGCACATGTGGTGTGTGTGTGTGTGTGTGTGTGCGTGTATGTACATCCCATTAATCAAGTGCTATGCCTTGATGCAGTATCTGGTCAATTCAGCTCCTCACTGTCTTGTTCTTTTTCCCTTTTTTTCCCCTTCCTTCCTCCCTCACGGTTTCTGTCCTTTTATCTTAGTAGCTTTCTGTCTTTTTCTTTTTCCTCTCCAGATCCCTGTTTGCTTGCTAAGCCTCATTAACAATTAATTACCAATCAGCTAGTCAAGTCACCCCTGGACTGCTGGGCTTCTCAATGATTCATTAGTCAGGGTTACACAATGCTGCAATGCATAAACACACTCCGGCACACTCATACGACAGACAAACACACACACACAGGCTCTGTCCCTCTCTGTCTCACTGGGTGTTTCGGCGCTCAGGCTTTGTGGGGATGTAAACACACATATTAAAGCAAGCATATGGACACATTAAAACACTTCCTCACATGCATCAGCTCATATAACATCTGTATCTAGTCACAAGGCCCTCATTAAAAAGAGCTAAAGGAAAACCGATTGAGTCGTGGACTATCCAAACAGGGCTCCCAAAGCATTAAAGTCTAATTCAAGGACTTTTCTGTGACTTGTGAAGGCTTGAAAATTCAAAACATAAAAAAATAAATAAAAAATCTAATTTAAGAGTTCACAAGGGGCATGTTTGAAGACACGATGTGGCATTAATTAAAATCTGACATCACATACAAGGCCTCTTACTTCAGGATTTTGAGTTCAGAAATCCAGGCAATATTCATTCCATAACTGCTGCTATAATAACTCAGATATCAATCACTGCATATTTCCACAGGATCTGATTTTAGGATGGAGAAAAGCCCAACGAGCTGAGGCATGTCGGTGAATCTGGGTTGCTAGATTTTTAAATTAAAACCAGAGCTTTTACTTTTTGTCTATAGCCATTTTTTAAGCAATATGCATTAATTACTGATTCTTTAAACTCCCTCCTGCAATGCTGAGAGTGTGCAGAAAACTAAGGATGAATGATTCATGCTGTCAAAATGTAACCGAGTTTGAGCTCGTACGAAGTCTTTGTAAATGTTTATCACTCTGCTGCAAATTCATACAGCTCTCCGGACACCGACGCAAGAGAGACACAAGCCTGAAGTGGCGGGTGGATTTTTCAGAGGTCTACGCGTGCTGTTGAAGGAGGGCAAAGTTTATTTCCCAAATTTCCCCAGCTGATTTCCAACCGGCGTCCTTCCTCTGCCCTTAAAAACACAACACCACTGCCCCCTCTACGGGACATTTTATCAGCGTGTCCATATGCCATGAGCCACTTACGCTAATTGTGCACATCGACCAGCTGAAAGAAAGATGTTGACTAGTCTGCCGCGCCATTGCCTTTGGATAACTACGCTCGCGTCTCACTATATTTCTCCAGCCCCTCGGCTATTTTCAACGGTTCATCCATCTCGGTGTGGCAAATTTTTGTTTGCCAATTTACAGCCCGGTGCAAACTCTGCCTTCACCTCTGCAGACATTGATACAGCCACAGCATCCAGGAACTGAAACCGAGTTCATTCTGTGAGCGAGTGCATGTGTGTGTGCTTGTCCAGCTATATTTGTGAGGACCTGTTTGAGTTTTAGGCCATCGGAGAGAGAGGACAGTTTGGTAACGTGAGGATCTCTTGATTTAAAAGATCGCTCTAAAGCCCGCTACATGGTTGTTTAAGGGTTAGGACTTGGTTTTAGGGTTGAGGTTAAAATTAAGTTTAGGGTAAGGGGTTTGGCTCCTAGATGGCCAAAGCATGTCTTCACAAGGATAGCAATACATGCATGTGTGTATGTGTGTGTATGTATGTGTGGGTGTGAATCTGAGAACGAGGGGATGTGTGGAGTGGAGTTAGTAGGTGACCTTGGGGCAGGAATGCACCAGCAAGACTGATGAGGAGTTAAAATACACACACACTCACAAACACACACACAAAATATCAATACGTCAAGCCTGGTCTTGCCTGATGTCATTCAAAGTGCTTTGTTTGCTTTGGCTGTCAAATTATTACCTAACTGGCTGAGGAACAGAAGAGGAAAAATCCCACCACATGGTTCAAGAACAAGCCTGAAAATTAATGAAAGAAACTGCACACCTCAGTCTTTTTTGAACATTCATTTACTCCTGATAAATGATTTCTTGATGCCAATTTGTCTAACAATACAGTAACGCTACAAACAAAACAACAGCTTATTTAATTAATCAGTTAGTTCATCCACAGAAACTGTACTCAACAGCTATTTTAGTAATCATTTGTCATGCTTTTTTAAAGGAGAAGACAAATCCACTGGCATCAGCCTATGAGGTGCATCTGTTGTCTGGTTTGAGGACGTCACCGTATGTTCCAGGATATTGTGAGTTTCACAAAACAATTTTTACAGACATTTTACAGCTTACAGCGCAGCTTTGCATACATACATACTTAAGTTGAATAAACTATGTGCTTATCTACCGGAGAGTAGTCGAGGAGTAGATGACTGTCCCTATAGTCAAACACACACACAGTTACACACTGTTGGAAGTTACCCAGTGCAACCTATTGCTGGCCACTGAGCAGCTCCGCTGGAGCAGATGCAGATTCAGCGCTGCGTTCAAGGGCATCTCTACGGCTGTGATGGATGGAGGAGTCCCTCTTGTTCAATTTATCCATTCTTATCCCCGTCGTCATTCTGGGGATTCAAACTGGTGGCTTGAGTCTCAGAGTCTGGCTCATTTCTAAAAATTTACTGTAGTCAAGAGTTCGGTGAACACACCATGTCAGCAAGCCAGAGTGATGATTAAAACAGCCCTGAATGCGTGGTGTTCACCTGATCAATGCAAAAATATGTATCCTGCATCACGCTGTATCCATCACATCGTGTTCTGAGCTTTGACAAAGACACCTGCTCGGCTGCTCGGTGGCAACAGGAGATTTCCTCTGCTCAGTGTTCATGTTAGAGCTGAGACCACTACCTGACTAAACTGACAGAAAATTATTCAGTCAACAGTTTTACCCTGAACGCATCAAGCCAAAATGACATATTTCCCGTCTCCAGCTTTTCATTCAGCTTGTTTATGGTTTATACAAATGTAAGCTGTACTGTCAGGAAAAACATGAAGTTTGTACAAAACCTCTGGATCTGTTCTTCCATCATATTCTTTCTTTAATGATCTATGAGGTCTGTTTGTTGAACATCAGTTTAATTTAGCCCATGTAACAAAACTCTGATGCTGATGTCAGAAACTGAAAGACTTGGGGATCTAGATTTTCTCTGCAAAATGCTGGTTTTGAGAGAAATATCACAACCACAAAAAAACTTGATCTGTCAGATTTGTTAAAGAGGCTACTTTGTCTGCAGAGTGACCTGCGTGGTGTAATTCACAACAAAATGGTAGGCAGCCTCATTGTGCTGCTCAATTATGTCAAACTTGAGCCCAACAAACTCGTGAGAACGCCAGCCAGGGATGAGGAACAGCAGGTGGTGCCTCCCTGAAACAGAGCTGCTGCTGCACAGTCAACATTTTGACTCTGAGAGCTCGTCAGGGTGGCTGCTGATGCTGATCCGGGTGACAGCAGAAACGAAAAAAGAAAAACCAAACCGGGCTTTAATGAGCCCAGCTCCTGAACGCTCACCACACATCCACCGTTGCGCGCCACAAGCCATATGACGCACACCTGTGACGGCTCTGACCATAAACACAGAAGGCAGCTTATTTACATCGAAGCATGGCAACACAACAATGCAAGAGAGATGGATTGGGCTTCACTAGCGACGCTTCGCTGGTGGACCGTGGACCGGTGGGATGCCGCTTGCTGGGGCAACAATGATGCCAAGGACTATCCTGATCAGGGAACAATATACGCCACACTTGACACGCATGCAGATGGCGCGCAACCGCTCCGTGGAGGTAAGTGTGTTTGACACCGAGGTAGGAAACAGCCTCGGAAATACAACTTGAATCGGTAGAATCTCCCTCGTCTGTGCTCGGAGCAGTCCACCTGCGTGCGGTTACGCAGTCAAGTCGTTTTTGCTCTCCTACCAGCCTGTGTCGTTGTCGCAAAGGCAACAAATTAACGAGGTGAAGACAAACAGCGCTCACCTCTTTGGTGTTGACGATGCCTCTGACGTATTTTCCGAGGACTGAATCCACGCAGAGGACGCTGGACAGCACGGCCAGGCAAAGGAGTCTCTCCCCGACCCTCACCTCCATCTTTCTCTCTCCCCCGCTGTCGCTCGTCTGCTCTCAGAGCTCCCTGAAGCCTGTCTCTGCGCGGGGGCGCGCACGGAAGATGGTGTGAGAGAGAGAGAGAGAGAGAGAGAGAGAGAGAGAGAGAGAAACCGACGTGCTCGCGCTGGTCCCTTAGTGCATGTGGCCCCCCTACAGCAGTTGAAGCTGCTGGATGGTGGATGATGATGGGTGTGTGTGTGTGTGTGTGTGTGTGTGGTTGATTGGGAGGAGAGGGGGTGGTGGATACAGAGAGTGCGCGCGCCCGGTTCCGCTCGTGCTTTGACAATGCGACACGTCCACACATTAAAAATGCCATCGCTGATTGCAATCATGTTTTCATTAGAGGTCACACACCTCTAATGAAGTAGCACTGAGACTGATGATGACCGGCCTTCTGTTCCTAATTATCCTATATCACTTATCGGTGAGATACACATCTACAGTAACAGGCTGCACTCCAGCTGGGCTTTCTTCAGAACTGCCACAGTGAAATCTTGGGTCCATGCTGAACAAGCACTCAGAGCTTTTTCCTCAAAGTATTCTGTTACAGGCATGTGTCTTGTGTTCAGACCTGGCCTATGTGGAAGTACAGGAATATCAGCGAAATGTCATTTAAGTATGAAAGGTGATCAAGTCTTATGGAGAGAGTCCACTTTACAAGTATTACATACAGAACAGGCCGTTGTTGAATTTCAGTGTTGGTCAAAATGGAGCTAATTTATAGGCTGTTGGGTTTAGTTTAATCCGGACAAAGCTCATCATGGTTGGTATGTTAAATTAGGTTATTTGCCTCTAAAATGTCAGGAGGACATAATAAACTGAGAGAAAAAACAAGTGCATCAAAACTGTGCTTCCTTATTTTCACCTCTGTGCAGACAAATCCTGATACATGAAGCTCTCTGCATTGTGTCTTCTTGGATTTAATCCAACACTAAATCTTAAAGAAAACATCACTTTTTTTTGTTCCTGTTCTCAAAGTCGTAGCTGAATCAGAATATAGTAATAATAGTAATATAATAGTATATATAATAGTAAATAGTAAAATTCAATTGAGCAGTTTTCTTCCTCACAAAGGCAGCCCTAAACACATAAAAGTCATTAGAAATACAGAGTATATCTCATCAGATTGAATGAATTAACATGTATTTTCTATTTTCAGTGACTTGCAGTTGATCTTTAGTTTGATCAAGACCTCAAAAAGGTTAATTCATGAGCTTGGACACAACAGCAGGATTCATGGGATAATATATTTATTTAGATATAAATCAACAAAAAGGGAAAAAAACAAAACTAGCCTAGTCATGGCGCATCAAACACATCATTCTAGTATGGAACCTGCAAAGAAAATTCAATCAACTGAAAACAATCTGCAATCAATAAATGTGAACATAAAAATATCTAAATGATTCACATTTAATATACATTCTGTTTTATTCACAGGTTTGCACTTGTGGTGTTTTCAACAAAAGAGCATTTACAAAGTAAAAACAAGTAAACTTAAAACATACTTTGTTTTTTTTTTTCCAGTCTATGGCTTGTTGTTTTTTTTTTTTTTAAAGGCTAATAATATTCTACATCAGAACTGATGCGGTGCAATTTGCATATGGAGTGCACATAGGCTATGACACTGATTAGCACCTGCATATTCAGTGGTAACGTTTAACAGCAAACATTAAACAGCGTGGACTGTACATCTGTTGCGAGATCCTACGTGCAGTCTTTGGTTCTGCTTTTAATTTCAACCATAAATGAAGAATATCAAACTGAGGAGACATTTCTAAGAGGTGCTTGAGGTCAGTTTCACTCAATGAGGCAGCTGTAAAAGCAGCTTCTTAAATCAACCTTAAGCCAAGTTTTACTGTATACGAGTCCAAGCTTAAGGTGATTCAAACACATTGCACAAATACAAACAAAATTCTAACTGAGGAAGCAGAGACTGTGAAAAGAGAAAAACTGAAGTGATGCCATTGTGTAACTACCATCACTTTACTGTAAATGCTGCCCTGACGGTTGAAGCAGCAAGCTCAGGTTTGTTACATTATTGCACTTTGCATGGCACATCATAGAAAATCAGCCCGGAGGCGAGGGAAATCTCTAATAAAAGAGCTTTTGATGGGTAAAACTGCAGAGGTATCCTGCGTATCTCGAGAGCTGAATATTGAAGAAAAAAAAAAAAAATCATATTCCACTGAAGCACTACGAGCTGTTTTACTTGCAGGGAATATTTGCAATTCTAAAGTTCCTCGCCAACAAGCGAATCATCAACACAGACGCACTAAAACAATACTCAACCAAATATGTCGGCTCAAAGTTACAGACAGCATCTAAGCATAGGAAGTGTGAAATGTGTCAGGAGCCGGTAAACTAAAAGCAGCAAAAAAAATCCTCTGACCAGAACAACAGATGAGCTGCGTGGTCCATCGCCTACGCTTTGGGTAGACGAACACATGACAGGTCATAAAGGGTGAGAGGCATATGAAGGCTAATGTACAGCAAGTAAATGAATTTGACACAGTTTAACATTTTCCTAGTGACTCACAGCTTTATGCAAGAAAGTGCTGATGACCAATCAACTCTGCTGTCCTTCATATGCAGTGGTGTTTAAAGTATTAATAAAGTCAAGTTGATTTACAGACATAAGACAAACAGTTGTCCTACTACTACAAAGTGGGTGTTTTCAACAACAGACGATTAACACGATGAATAACTTTTGATTGTAAAGCGCCGTTCCTGTCTTTGAGTGAGCGTGACACAAGGAGGGCAAACCAACCATGTGAGCTCATGTTTCCCTGCAGGCCAGAGACTGCTGCGATCATGTGAACGTGCACACACACAAGCGTCGCTTGAGCCAGACACCAAGCAAAAAACAAACAACAACAAAAATCCTATGCATACAAGCTTCAGCTTAAAATAAACTTGGACTGATTGACAGACCGACTACTGCGAAAGTGCACAGTGAGCATAAACAGCGGCTAGTAGAGGAAGCACAAACTTCAGCCCAACATCTCAGAGACAGCGAGTGTATAACTTTCTTCCTCTTCTCGGGTCTGGTTCTCTCCATCAATCTGACTAAAAATATTGCAGTAAGTACTTCAAGCTGACAGAACTGAGTATGGTCTAATCCTGTAGCATGACTTTGCTGCTTAAAATCCTGCTCTTCTACGCAGGGAGGATTTTGCACTCCGAGCATCAGCTAAATCCTATTCATCACACAGCATCCCTCTCTACAGACCTGGCAACCCCAGCCCTGTTACCAGGCAAGGGCAGGACAGTGCCAGCATTGTTGGCATCTATATTTAGTTGGACCTGATAGAAGGACTGACCCTCAGAAGGACATTTTTGTGTACTTCAAAGTGCTTTGATGGCAACACGCTCAGAAGAGTGTCCTCAGGTAATCACAAACAAAGTCAACCCCAAATGTGACAGTGAGGAGTAAAAATATCTGGACCACCAGTCACTGTTTTCCAGCCAAATACAAGTTCAATGGCTTTTAAACAGCACTTTTTCAATTGCTTTTCTTGGTCAGGGTGTTCGAGGTTTGCCTAAAAGCTTCTGATTTGTAACAAGAAAAAAATGGTTATCAGGCCAGAAAACCCCTGCCTCGAGAGAAGTGGTGCTTTGACACAGTGCATACTGTGCAGAGAAGTAGTGAGCAATAACGCTTGCCGAGAATCCGGGACAACCTAAGAGGAAATCAGTGCAGTCAAGTCTAAAATGTGTATTGATAGCTGAGAGCTGGGCCTTTTTGCAACCGCTCCCTGTCTTATTCCATTTTGAAAAGACAATATAGAATAACTGTTTCCAGTCTTACAAAATACAATAAAAACAATTAGCCTCCTTTAGACATCTGAGAGTTATGATTGTTCTTGAGAGACTCGCAAAGAAGGGGCCCGAGTATTCTTGTACTACGTATGAATGCATTTCAGTGCACTGCCAAAGATTGCACTGTAACAATCGATAAAATGCAGTCTTTGTATTTGTAATGTCAGCACAAGACAAAATCCAGACGTGACACTGTGTCCCTGCGTAATATCCCACATTTACTCTATCAGATCAGTATGTATTACTGGGAGTAGGAGATGAACCTAATTGGAAAAGCCAGGGATGTCAGAGCGGCTGCAGCTAAAGAAGCAGAGGTAAATATTGAGCACTTTTAGAAACATGGAGTAAACACTTTAAGATTACATTAAATAATAGAGTATACAAATCATCGAAAAGCCTGTTGTGACTCAGGGACTATAACAGCAATACAAAAATGACATAAATAACAAAAGCAATACTTCTGCATAGGAGTAATTATTTGCTTAAAAACTGCAACAGAACCTCAAGAATGAAGTAAATCAATTCATCTTGTTTCCAGTCTGTCAGTCTGCTGTGTTGTAGATTTGTAATTCTATTTAGGTGAGAGTCAACAGAGTTACTATCCACAAAGTGACCTGTATTGACTGCCAAACTGGCATAATGGAGAACACAATGTGGAGTTATTAAGTGTGATTTAGAGTGCCTCCCTAAAGGACAAGTGGCCATTTTGACGGGAACGACTCTACATAGAAGCATGTAGTGTGCCTACCACTATCTGATTAGGGCCTCAAATCACTGCCTTAGCCCGGATGAATCACCCATTCAGGCCTCGTCTCAAGAATCTCCTGCGCTGCTTTATGTCCGAGCCTCCGCTGCATAACGGCAACTCTGTTAAGTGTGTGTGCCGTGTGGGTGGGCGAGTGCTGGTCTTTGATCTAAGTAGCTGCTAAATTATCATTTTATTCTAAAACATGACATGACATGTTTTTTGTGGGTGTGTTCGTTTTGTCTACAAGATTTGCGTTGGTGCATAGACAACTGGCAAGAATTGTAAAGTAGAGGGAATAATATTTCAGCGCTCCTCCCCACCTCCTGCTTTTCAGGATGCTTTCTTCATCTCTCACTTAGGCACCACACTGCCTAAATTTGTCTGACTTTCATTTACTCTTTCTCCTTTCACTCCTCGGCGAAATGAAGCACACTTTCTTTTCTTTTTTTTCCCCCCCATCTAACCTTATTTAAGCCCCGATGCCACCAGCGTCAGTGTTATTCTGGGCTGCCACAGCAACTGAACCCTCCCCATCAGCAATTTTAGCTCCTCTCCCGACAGCTAGCTCCCCTCCCTCGGTGGGGCCAACAAAAAGAGGACCGCTGTCCCCAGAAGGGGCAGACACACCCCTATCGGTTCGTTCCAGCTTGCGGTGCTTGCGTGGTTCTGGGGGTGTGTCCTGGGTGAAAACGGCACGAATTCGCTCTGCGCAGACGTTGGCAGCTTCCCTTGTCTCCTTAGAGAGCTGCGATAGGCTGAGGAAGCCATGGGGGAGGTCATCCACCACACAGAGAGTGACAGGCTGGTCTATGTTCCTCAAACGCTTGGCAAACATCACAGAGTCATCCAGCATGGGGTCTAATGCACAAGCCTGAGAGGGGAAAGAGAGAAGAGAAAGGAAGGGAAGGGGTAGGAATGGTGAGAAGCAAATTTGAATTCCCTTTAGACGTGTCAAGAATCTTAATTAAGGGTTGAAGAAAAGGAAGCCAAGCATTCCAGTCTCTTTTGTCCAAGCTTTCTTTACATTCTCACTGACTCTGGCCACTTTAAAGTCAGCACCAATTTCTTCATTTTCATACAAACACCCTTCTCGAAAGAAAGAGCAGGCTTCAACCTCACCAATCCCTCTCGTCACACTGTGTCACTCTGATGTATGCAAGCACATCCTGTTACTCTGTCTCTTAACATTTTGAGTCTGTTTTGTTTTTTTTCTCCCTCACACACAAAATATAAATACTGTACGTGTGATATGATCAAAAGCTAAAGCTCCAGTCAAGTGTTACACTGCTGTCCTGACTACAAAACCATGAAGAAGTCTATGCAAATTGTTTTCAAAAAATGGACAATAACTACAAAACTGTGGCAAATGGGCAACCTTAATCTACTTGGAAGGCTGTGTTTCGGTAAAAGCTCCAATATTATTCTTTTTGTCGGTCTATCTTTCCAGTGCTGTATTCATTCCTGAAGTTTAATCATATGTGCTCCCTCACAGAAGATGACAGTGTGATAAAAAGTGTAGAAAGCAGCAAGTACTAAAAAGCAAAACGTTACAACGCAGTAACTGACGGATCAGTCGCGCTAGATTTGTGTAAGCTTTCAACCAGTGTGTTTGACTGTGACTTTCCTCTTACCACTATGTGTATCGGTGGCAACCCCTTAAGCATGCTATCAGGTGCCAGCAGAGGTGAGCAGAAAGGATCCTTGACCACTGGAGAGCTCTCCACTCTTATCTCAGCCAGCTGCTCTGAGCGCAGTGGTTCAAACCCTAGTGGATACTCTCTGCGGTGCTCCAGCTCTGATCCGTCTTCTCCAGCAGGGGGTGGTGGTATGGCCACTGAAGACAGGTCACTGGATATGGAGGTATCTCCATCCTTAGTGAGAAAGAAACTCACATCTTCTGGCTGCATAAGAGAAGAGATGAATAGTTATTCAGGTGAGATAGACTGGAAAAACATGTATCACACACACATGCACACATCACTCTTTGTCCCTGTAAAAATCTGCTAAAAACCTTGGCTGAGCGCCTGAGTCTTGGCTGAACAATCCCAATTTCAAGGAGGAAAAGCGTATTTAATATCTTACGTCACCTCTGCTTGCTATTTTTTCCAAGCCAGCCACTAATCCAGTCTGCCTGGGAGAAAATACATGCGAGGATAATCTGCAACACCTTGTCAGTCCTGCACAACTAAAAAGTTTTGATATTCTGTCAGCATTTTTTTTTTTTAGCCAGAACTGTTTGTGAGGAATGGGTGACATAATCTCAGCTGAGTTCATTGAAGTGAAACATGCACATCAGTGCTGGGGAGACAGCACTGTAAGATACAGGGTCAAAGTATCTCTGTGCTCCCAACATGTTCGACCTCTTAAAAAGGTTATGGTATGTGTTTTCAAGCAAAGATAAACTGATCATAGACAAGAGGCCAGTGGGGATTCTGTTCACTACAATGGTGATCACCACCACATCACACACATTCCTGTAATGACAATGATAATGTAAATTCCCAGAATAATCCTCACTAACACCCGAGTGTTCTTTAGAGCAAAAGCCCTTGACTGGTTAAATACAGTTAACTTTTTCTGGATAAGATCATCAGCAAAGAGCAAACTAATCTCAGTGTAAACATGTTCAAGTGTGACATACAGTGCGCTCAGACAGCAGCGGTGCACTGTAGGGTACGGAGTTGTTGTGGGATCCCAAGTCCTGGCAAGTCTGGCTCTTCACTGATAATTTCCTACTGAGCAACTCTGAGGGCTCTGTGGGTACAGGAGGGTCAGCGTGAGGAGAACAGATGGATGCCTCTGAAATGCTCTTCCTCACAGCATCTAGCAAACAAGAAGGGCAGAGGGGTAAATAGATTGATGAATGACACACAAATCAAAATGTTTGAAACGCACAAACTACAAAAATAAGTCCTTCAAAAAAAAAAGACTGTTAAGCACACAAAGTATTCACTTGGGCTCAGTAGCAGTTGGAGAGCGCACAAAAAATAAACTAACTCTGACAGTAACACAAGATCACTTTCACTTATTCTACTGTTTCCACTTATCATATGTCCTCTGGTTGACAGCCAACAGTTAAAAGCCTAAAATGCAAATTGGGATGTAGCAGGAAGAAGAGAGGAGAAGTAGGTGGAGGAAATTCAAAAAGTGCTGTCATGGTGATATCATCTGCCCGCCCTGAGCTGTCAAAACACAGCTGTAAAAGTCGTCATGGCTGGTCTCCTCACAAGGCGCTACTGATCTCCCATCTCTTTAATAATAAACTATCTCTGCACCATGATGGTCTTTTAATAAAGTACAGCCACCAATGACACTGTCATTAGACTGGGCGTGCAGCTTTGGGGGTGTCACCTAGCTAACGGGACACCAGGGAAATTACAATTCGCCATCAGATTTACGGTGGCGACAATTAACAATTACTGTCAAAGCCCTGCTGCTTCAAAAAGGTGGATTGATTTGAATTGGGCTACAGAAGTGTTATGCAACACCGTACAATAAAGTGACAACTGGTTAGTTGGATGCTGAAAAGCAGAGATCCATTGCATGTGACCTGTAGCATTTACATTAATTGGCCTAATGAACACTTTAAAAATGTGGGAGGTATGCACACACACACACACACACACACACATAGTGACCAGATCTGCACTTTTAGCAGAGATGCGATCAAATCCAAAATACATTTATTCCACCCACATCTCATCTAATGCTCCTGTGTAACTACACCATGAGCACGCATGCACACACACAACCACCGATGAAAACACATTTGCTGGTTTACCAGTGGCTCCTGGTAGCTCTGCATTCGTGCTGGGCGAGGCTGAGGCTCTGTTGGGATCCAGCAGAGATTGGATCCAGTTGGAGGCTCCCTGTCGGAAATCTCGCAGCATTAGTGCCGTGTCTCTCCTCACCAGGCTCAGTGTGCTCACCTTTGCTACTTGCTTCTCGGTCTGTGGCTCACTGCCTGGAGAAGGAAACAAAAACAGGAAGGAAAATAGATGTAGAAAAGTGATGAAAGTGTTTTTGTTATTCCTCAGTAAGCACAAATGAGTAAAAACAGAGAAGATGGGAAACCAATAATAAGAAAGGCATTGTAGTCAAGTAAGAAAACCACTGATAGAGTGGGTTGAATACTGCCACATAGCTATTTGTGTTACAAACAGCAATAGATAGTGATGACAGATGGAGCAAAGAGAAAATATGTAAGCCATCGACCCAGTGTTTTAGTTCAGTTATTGAAAAGAGACAGCGCAGGCAATATCTCTGTGTCAGTATTTGGTATTGTTGGCCAATACCTGCACTTCTCCACAGTCCTCTACGGTTATCCCCTAGTGAAGCAACAATTTACATGCAAGGGTTTCTAAGTGGGTTCTCTTGTTTTGTTTTGTTTTCAAGCATTAATGAAAATGCATCCATATGCTAATAAACTGCTGTTGAGAGGATTTTCCAGGCACAGCACAACTTTACCCTGCAATTGAAGTAATACTTTAGAAAAACTACTATTTGATCCATAAAGTTTATGACCATAATGGTGTACAATGCTGGTTTTGTCATCTATAAAGACCAGAATATTTTGTTTACGATACACCAAGATTCAAGACCAGAGAAAATAATTCTCCAATAACATGATACTGTCTTAAAACTAATGGAGGAAAAGTGCAGAAATTAGCTGATTAGCCAGCGAAAGATGCTGATAAACCACTTGTAGCTATTGTTTTGGCTCGCTTTTTCATATTGTGAATTAATTACAGGTTGTTGGGTTTTTTTGCTTTAGGAGTTGGTCAGACTTGTTAAATAATTGAACTGCTGTATTGATTAATTAATGGAATATGATTCATTTATAATGGAAACACGTTTCCAATCTGGAAAGACAACAACATATGAATTTCATAACAATCATTTACATTATGTCACTACTGCAGGTCAAGATCATTAAATTAACAGAATGTGTGACATGAAGCAGTGAACAGCAGGCACCTGAAGACGTGATTAAAAAGGAAGAACAATTAGAAAAAAATAGATCTAAACACAATTCTCTACCTCACCAGACAAAAAGAAGCATCCTGGCGAGATTTTCTTTTAAAAATACACACTAACAACTCCTACCTGCGTAGGCACTGAGACACCTGGAGAGCACAGTGAGCGGCAGCAGGGGATCCATAAGTGTTAGCAGACGGGAGGGTGATGCGTAGGCCGTCAGCAGGGTAGCTGGATAGGCTGCCACAATGCCATCTGGCATTCGCACACCAAAGGCAGCAGCACGCATTGATGTTGTTACACATAAGTTGCCTCCTGCGCTGTCACCGGCCAGACACACCTTCTCTCCAGTCCAACCTAGAGAGATCAAAATGGTGATGATAAAGAAGAGGAAAAGAGGGGAAGAAGCATTATTATTAGAAGGGAAAACTTACAAAATAAAGGAGACAAGAAAAATAAAAAAACTTTTCCTGAAACTATGTGAAACCCACTAACAGCAAAACATCCACTAGACAAGATCAAAGTCTTACATGTTGCGCCACCATTGCTGTTAGTTTGACACGTTTCAGTGATCAGATGTATCCCAAACTAAATGTCCTCTTTTTTTTGTTGGAATACTGAGCATGGCAATTTATGTGATGTTGCAGAACAGCAAGTGTAAGAAGCATGCAGCAGCATCATCACTTTAAAAGTGATAAATTAATCCTTTCAGGAGGTACACAGAAATGGTGAACTAAGTTGACGTTTTACAGAAGCACTTAACAGACACCTTAATGCTGCTCCTTCATTCTAATAACTTCCTTCTCTTTTATTGGCCTAAGGTATATACCATTACCACTTTAAACAAAGGATTCGGAACATATTCAGATCCCCTCACTTTTTGCACACATTATTTCGCTGTAGATTTATTCTAAAAGGAATAAAAATTTGTCCATCAGTCTACACTCAATAGGCCATGACTTGAACAAAAAAATGTTTTGAGAATTTTCTACAAATTTACTACATATCAAAAACTGAAACTGTCCAGTTTACAAAAGTATTCAGATCAGTAATTAAGTACCTTATAGAAGCACCTTGGCAGCAATTACAGCTTTAGGTCTTCTTGTGTAAGTTTCTATAACTCCTGGATTTGAACAGTTTATCTCAGTATTCCAAGCAGATCATCTCTAGCTCCGTCACAATGGGACGGGAAGCATGTGAGCTACCGTCTTAAGGTCTCTCCACTAATGTTCTCACAGGTGGGCTACGGCAGGGCCATTCAAATAGAGAGACTTGTCCCATTGCCTCCCCAGCACTGTTGTGGTTATATATTTCTTCACTTCCCTTGTTCCTGCTTCTCTTTGTTCTGACCAGCATTTCTGTCCCTGCCACTGAGAAGCACCCGCATAGCATGATGCTGCCACCACCATGCTTCACCATAGTAATGATATTAGCAGGTAATGAGCAGTGCCTGCTGTTTCATAGTTAGTTAGTTTAGTCTAATCAGACCAAATGTTTTTCCTTCTTTGTTAGTCAGTTTGGTCAGACTCTGTGAGGATTCCTGGTGGTTCATTTCTTTCATTTCACCATTACTGAGGCCACTGCGCTTCACCCTGATCTATGCCTTATCACAATTTTATCATATAGATCTACAGATGGTTCCTGGATGTCCTGTGTGAATTGTACAACATTTTTGAATATGTCCAAACAATTCACATCTCAAGGAAAATTAAGACAAGCAAGATTTAGAGTGCCACAACAAAGGGTCTAAAGAAGAATTTTTTTTTTCTTCCCACAGAAATGAAGAACTTATTCAATATAGGTAACTGAGTGTAAGTTGGTAGGTAGTGATGGTGATTAACCATCTAAAAATTAAATGTACAACACAATGCGTGCTAAAGGTGAGAGGGTCTGACTACTTTGTGATTCTTTGCTGGATACTATTCCCATTGATTCTAAAGTGTAAAACAGAAAATTCACAGGGGAGATAAAAAGTAAGTAAGCACTCCAGAATAAACAGTGTTGTGTGATGTGTGTACCAAGTAGGTGGTGGTTTCTCAGAGCCCAGCAGTAGGCATAGAAACATTCCTCTAGGGCCCTCGGGAAGGGGGCCTCAGGGGCCAGAGAGTAGTCCACTGACAGGATGGGGACACCAAGGTCCTGGGACCAACTCTTCAGATACGGCTGCACAAAACATAAAACAACGTTATGACTTTATGAATAGAGATGTTTTTGAATTTACAAGAAACGGGGAGACAGAAAGAAAAAGAAATACAGAGGAAGAGAGGCGCATGGGGTGAACATTAAGACACAGGGATAGAAAGTTATGAATATTATGTGCCCCTCTGATGTCATCTGTCGGCTTTCTGGCTTACTGTCTAGACAAAAGGAGAATGAGCACTGCCCTCTCAGTCACCTCCATTTCCTTTCTTCTCATACCATAATAACAAAGGTGCCCACATGTCCTATTTTGCAGAGTAAGAAGGTAGAAGACAGAGACAAGGGGCTGGTGTGGATTTAGAGGGAGAGTCTGCAAAAACAAAGTTAGAATACTGCGTATTTCTCTTTTTATTATTGTTACAGTCAGGTTAAGTGTTTAATATACTTATGTAGTGACCTTGAAATGAAAGCGAAGCATCAAAACTTATTGTGACATAATATTCTTCCCACAAAGAATTCCCCCTTTCCACTTCATCTACTTCCAGCCCCTTTTTGACTTGCTATGACAGTGCTGGCAGTGAAAAAGACAGATCTCCATTCACATTGCCAGGAAAAGCACAGTGTGTGTATGTTTGTATGTCATCCCACAGACCTGTGATTCAGTATGAAAAAAATAAAGCCAACAAAGTAGTAACTACACACTGTCAGCTGTGCTGTCTTAAAGCCCTATCTGTCACAATAAATCTTAGAGTGAGGCCACTGACAAGTGAGTGTGCATACAGTTCAAGCAGTGTTAAGGTCAGATAGTGTGGTTTTGTCTGCATCAGTAAAGGTACTCTTAAGGTGTGTGAGAGTTTGTGCAACTGAGTGAAAACCACAGCTGTCGTTGGCAGTCAACAATAAGTGTAAACATGATCGGAGTCCATGGGCAGGTCTGTCAGTCAGACAGTTCATTATCTGCCTGCACAAAAGGAGCTTAGCATGCACAACAAATGGCCCACTGGGCAGAGAAGAGGTGTGTATGTGTGTGTGTGTGTGTGTGTGTGTTTGTTAAGGTGGGATCCAGGCTGGGTAATTTTACATGACTAAGGAAACTAACACATGTTCTACTTACAACAATTTGCAAAGTCCCAAATCTGTTCTCAAAGCAGGAATTAACAAGAGCAGCAGTCCTTTTAATTCTCAGACGGGGGGAATCAGCTAATCGGCAGTCTTATACCTTTACCTTCCAACACTTGATGTGTGTTGTCTGTGCACAAGTTGCTAAACACACAGATGTAAGTACATCAATTCCTGTGATCTCAGCACTGCTGTGCAATGAAAACACCACGGGCTCCGGCAACTGAGGTCAAACTATCTCACGGAGGGGACAGGATAAACAAGATCAAGAGAGGGATATAGGAGTAAGAGAGATAACAGGGACAACACTTGTCTCCACGATCAGAGAACCTTTCCATTTTTCTATTCTTTTTTTCGCTCTTGAATGAGGGATTAAGAGAGCAGAAGCCACCCAGAAAAATCTGGAGAGAGGCATGTATGTGGTGCCCAAATACAACAAAAAGGAGACGTGAAAAGGACACTAAGTGAACAAAAAGGATTTTGTGAGATATTAGAAGGATTGAGAGGGAGGAGGTAATAAAAATGAGAGCCCAGAAGAAGAAAAGAGACAGATAGTCTGACAAGTCTTCCATTAGTGCCCGGGGTAATCTTTCTCTGCGGGATTGTACAGTTCTTCGTTAATTCAACATGACAGCCCTGCTCACCCCTTCTCTGATTGCTTCCTCTCATCCTCTGGTTGCTATGCAGCTGCAGATCAAGGATGCCCAAGTCCTTTGCAATTTCACAGAGCCCTGTCTTGCAGCAGCTATAAGTAGCTTGAAGCCACATAAAGACCGCACACGGCCACACATGACCATACCAACACAGGATAAATACAGAGCTCGGGTCAAATCATGTTAAAAATAATCGTCCTCATTAGCATCAGCAAAGCAACATATGCTCATCCAACTACAATTTCATATGTTGTCACTTTAAAAAAAACTTGTTGGAAAAAACATTACCTTTGGGTGTTCTATAGAATGAAAATGATAAGACCACATTGAGAACACAATTTCAAAGTCACAAGAGCAAAGCCTTAGTGTGTATGTCATGGAAAAAAAAAATGCTGGCGCACTCATTAACCAGTGATGTAGAAAACAAATCTAGGACGAGGCGTCCTCTTCTACAAGAAAAAAAGATGGGTGAGGACAAAGTACATGACAGGAAGCAGCAACTTCCACAAGACAAGGACCAGCTTTGCATACACCATAGCACGAAAAAAAAAGCATGGAGCGGGATCAAAATCCCTTTACTATATTTTCAGAGAACATTTACGAAAAAAATATTAGCTTAATAGCTCATTATATGCCACACAACTGACAGAGGGAGAGACTCAGACTGTTAGCCCTTTGCTCCTCCACTGTCACCCAGTATCTGTCTCATCAACACTTTAATTAGCTGGGGTACAATTACAATTAGTTTGAGGAAACACCACTAAAGGGTTTAGAAGGATCAGTGCTTTGGTGGTGCTGGCTCAAATCCTGGAAAAAGAACATCTGAGCAAGGTGTAGAATGGTGAAGGTGTAATGTTGTTAGTATTTTGATATGTAGGTGCCAGATAACATATTACGTCACCCTTTCCTGCAATTTGACCAACCGTTCCATCACAAATATCCCAAATAGGTAAATACTGTCACATACAGATGTGAGTCAAAACACTAAGACAAGACAAAAATGTGAATAGTCTATCTGATTAAGAAATCACCTTGTTTTTCTAGTCAAAGTAAAGCCAACTCTTAATGAACTTGAGCTAAATCTAATTGAAGTGTAAAATCTCACCTCGTGGGATTTGGAGGTCTGGGCCACAAAGCCTCCCCCATGAAAGTGGATGAGGAGGCAGGGAGAAGAAGGGAGGCGCTTGGTCTTCAGCCCCAGAGACAGAGAGATAGCACCCCCCTCAGAGCGGGAGAGCGATAGTAGAGTTTCACTGTCCTGGAGAGAATGAGACAAAGGCATTACTACTGAGGATAACCCAACAATAATCCATCATCAAGATCTATTTTTTTTAAGGTCTCATAATCACACAATGACCGGTCATGATGCTTGTTTAACTCTGATGAACTGTCTGCAGATTGTATAGACTGCAAACAAGTTTTCATTCATCTAACTCCTATTTCCATTGCTGATAAATGTTAGTGCAAATGTTAACAACAGGACTCCTTTGAGAAAGGGATTAACTGGTTGTTCTGTAGCAGCTTGTTACCAAACGTTCTCGGCCTGCAGGAATGTACACTAATTCCCACTCATTAACAGAAACAAGGAGGGATTGGAGCTATGGTTAAAAAAAATTTTTTAAAAAAAGGTCTCCACTGATGCAGGCTTGTATTTTGCCACATTTTAAAGGACACTGCTGTTTTGCTTCAGCATCATCAGTGGCTGAAATTCTCTGCTGACAGCATGTCTGGTTATATGCCACACTACAAAAAAAGGGAGAAGAACGAGCTAGGCTGGAGAGAAGGAGTCTCCAAGGAGAGTTAGGAAGGCAGAGTAGAAAAGGTGAAGGTAAGAGAGTGACACTAATGACAGTAAAATAGAGAGAGGGAAAGATATTGAAGCTTAAGATTATGCAGATTAGGCTGATGAGTTAAATTTTGTTTTTCTACTTAAGTATCTCAGAAAAATATCAGATATGCCATGAAATATTGTTGAACTGAGTTTTTTAAGAATTTGTGTGGCTGCTGTGTGCAAGGAGCCCATGGGGAAAACTGTCATAAACTAGGTCACACAACAAATACTTTCGTTACAAGGAAGTTGTGAGAGACGAGTTCACAGGAAATACAAGAGCTTGCCTAGTTGTGCATAAAATTCAAGGCAATGAAGCTTTTTATTGAGTTTTTAAAGTATGGCACTATAGTGTGAATTGAATAATGATTCAAGTACCTGTCCTTCACGTAAGTCATAAGAGATGAGTCTCATCTGAACAGGAGCAGTGCCAATGTGTGCCGACGGTGGAGATATAGTTACAGATGCTCTGTGGTTGGCCGCCAGGGGAAGGTCAAAGGGCACAGAGGGCACAGAAAGAGCTCGGTTCACCTTAACTTGAGTGGATGTCATGCTGGCGAGACCCTGGAGAGAAAAAAAAGATGCACAGAGAGAAAAAAAAATGAGACTGGATGAGAAAGAAAAGAGTGCAAGTTCCAGAGCAAGTCAGGTCACTGGAGAGAAAGAGAAACTTGATGAATAAATCATGAACCCCATTGAATAAATTGAATTCTACTCAATTATTTCTAATAGCCTGTAGGCTAAAATGCATAATGACAGAAAGGTACTTTTACCTGAGGAAAGCAAAATATCCTTGATACATCTTTAAAATGAAATAGGGCAGCACACATATCTGGGGGCATAGTTTAGCAACGGGAGATTACACATGTCTAAGAGCTTGTTTGTCTGTGTGTAACAAGATGCAGCAACAGTCCACTCACCGACAGAACCTCAGTCTCAGTGATGTTCCAGAAAGTCTTCCAGAAATGGACATCCAGGTTCTGGGTGATACGATCAAACTCTGCCCCTCTCAACTCTGGGTCGATGGCATACTTCCCTGAGTTAAATAGAGAGCTGGCTGCTACACCTGGGAATGTGAGGAAGGTGGACATAATGAGTAAGGTATATAATGGAAAGGAGATCTCAGAGACAGAGTAATGCAAGAAAGATATCGAAGTAGCATTAAAAGGCAAGAGGGATGTGTATGGGTAGTGAGGGGGTGGAAAGGGAATAGAGGAGTGATCGACAAAGACAAAATCTCAAAATGATGAGAATAAAGATTTCACAAAGACAGAAACAGTGCAAGAAGCAATGAGCAATACACTTGTAACTGGACCACAGCAGACAAAACAACAAAATTAAAAAAAAAACTCAGACAGAGAGCAAACGAAAGAAGGTGAAAGGATGGAAGAAAAGAGAGACAGATGGTCAACAGTGGAAATTTGTGCTCTATCATTTCTAAGAGATTTAGTTCTAATTGAGACCCGTCGTTACAGTCAACAGGGCAAACTGTTACTTACTCGTATTTCTTTTTTGCCACAGGAATATTGCAGATCTTCTGTGTTAGTGCCATGGCAAACCAAAGACACTCCACTGTATTATAAATCTACCCCGTTCTATAAACTATTGCACTTTTTGATGCCGTGAATCTCTCTCAAACCCCTTCTAGACATGCACCCTGTTCTGCTAATTTGACAGCAACTGAATGTGTCGCGGTCATGTCTGAATGCTCACCCCGGTCGCGGATCTGTGAATATCGAGCCGGCAATCGTACCAAGTCGGACTGAGTTACATTTTTGTGTCACTTTCAACATGGCACAAGTCTGAACTGCACCATCACTTTAACAAATAGGTGTGCACAAGCAACAGTGGCTCGAGTTGCAGGAACTGAATTAGTACCAATATTATTGCAAAAACATCAGCGTTTCCCACTTACTTTGCTCTACAATGTCAAACTTAATAGGCTACAAAATAAAATGTACTTGAGTAAATAAACCTTGCTGAGATGAAAACAGACACTACCAGCTTAGATTAATGACACTCAACAATAATAAATGCAATCCAACTTTTTTCCACCCTACAAGTCATTAAAAGGAGCTGAAGTTTGTTGAGTTCAGCTGTTTAGGACTACTTCCTGCAAGTTTATTAAATACCTGCAGCATCAGAAAGCAGTAGGATCCACAAGTGTCTCCAAAAAAATAAAAGCTGCACAGAGAACAGTAGTGCTGGGACTTCGTTAAATTCTTAAAATGCTAAATTATGCCTGAGAGAACATCAGGAGAGTGGATCTGTCTGGGCCAGGATCCACCAGCATGTCACACTGTGTAGTACGACTTGTCTTCACATCAGACAGGTGTGCTGCTGTCACGCACCAAATCGCAGTTTGGTTTGTTGCTTCGAGCTGTTGAGGACTACTTTCTATAATTACAAAACACCTGCAGCATCAGACAGCAGTATTATCGATATGAGCGTCTCCAAAGAGAGAGAGAGAGTTGTGCACATGAATACAAAGAGCAACATTAGTAACCCAATTAATTAGTTATAATTATATATTATCCTGACACAGAAAAGATCAATCAGGATCGAACAGCAAGTCACGCTGTGCACTTCTCTTCATCTCAGTCAGGTAAGCTGTCACAAACAGTCACAGTTTATCAGCTGCTGTTAAATATATTGCTATATCTCGGCTGTCCTCAGGTTGAGCCCTGAGCTTTTAGTTTCACTGTTTAAGAATTCAGAAATAAACTTGGCTGTTACTTATTTGGACACTTTGATAAGTTGCCATTAGTTTAAACTGAGTCTGTTATTGCATTATTGTGCATTATACATAACTTGGCGTATTGCCTAATCTTGCGTGAATGACAAATAGTGTGTGTGTACTGCAGCTCTCTCCGGCACTCTGAGGGGTATGTCTGCATGAAGCCATGAGGAACATCAAGGACAAGTCACCTGCAGTATGTCTGAATAATAAAATGCCATCACTTTAACGGACTGATGAAGCCAGAAATGTTCTATATGCAATTATGGAAAAGGGCTACAGACTTCAATCTATGAACTAAAATACAGACAAAGGACAGCTACAGCAGCTTACAGTGATAAGTGCTAAACCACTTAGGATAATAGGAGCTGTGGGACAGAAGAAGCTTCTTCATATAGTCTCTTAGTGCACTACAGAGGACTATGATGAAGGGGTGTGGGTTACACTCACCATATGGTGCAATTGGTGTAATACCTCCTGCCTCCACTGAGATGCAGCAGAGAGTACAAGAAACCATAAGAGTGAGATAATTCTTTTTAAAATGTTAAATATTTATGTACGCCTGTGTATGTGTGCACAGTACAAATGTGTATATGATGGCGAATGTTCTTCTATCTCTGCCTCTGTACATAACTGTGTGCATGTTCAAAACATTCTGAAATATAGAAGAAGCACACCAGCTAGCCCTCAAGATTCCAAAGGATGAAAGAGCATCTACAATCCAAACACACAACATCAAAAGGTACACAGTCAGGGGCCAAGGAGTAATGTAGAAGAGGCGTGGAGATGGGTGAGTACGATCTATGAATGAAAATGATTGCTGGATGATGAGAGGGTGCAGCTGCAGACAAGATGATGCTGACCTATTCCTGACTGATGGCGCTTGTAGTTTTCTCCAAAGGCCACAAGGCCGATAGCGATGGTTTGAAGGCAGGGTCGAATGGCTGGAGTGAACTGCAGTGAGGGATGGACACAAACAGAGAAATAATTTAGATTCAAAACCACTAACCAAGGTACACTTGCAAACAAGAAATATACTATGATTAAAACTGCAATCATTCAAACAGAGAAAGTGAAGCATAGACGACAGGATTTCAGAGCATCAGAGGGGCATGACACAAATTAAATTAAATTAACAGAAAAGAGGTACAAGGTGGGGAGATCTCTTTTTAAGGTCAGTCCCTATAAAAAGATATCAGCATAGCAGTGAATACTTTCTAACCTATAGAATACACGAGTGTCCTGTGGGCAGCATTATTCTGCACGTAAGTCATAATACAATGACCACAATAAAGACATATTGAGAAGCTGTAAAATGTAATATGAATTAATAAGTGAGTGACCTTTTCCAGAACAGTAGACATGAGTACAGGGAGCTGCTTGTCTCAATGTGAGAATTAATGAGTATGAGGTTGCTTGTCATTAACCTTGCATTGCTGTGAGTTGTTCTATTACAGAAAAATGTAAATACTTCCAACCCTACATCAGCTAACTTCGTGTGAATTTCTTCTTCTTAGAAACCCGCCTAAAGTCCAGAGTTCTGGAATATCAAGCATGAGGTAGCATCACCCCTTTCTATTGCTGATCCTTCACACTTCTTATCACAAAAGCTACGCAGCTCATCTCACCTGAAAGCCCAGGCAACGGCCATAGAAGCAGCCCTTGTGCATGGATGCGTATTCGCGGACAAAACTCTCGCTGAGGCCACTTTCATCCTGGAAAAAGAGGTTACCATGGCTGTTATCATGTAGCATGCGCTGAGCCAGGTACAGCAGGGCGCGCAGCTGGCACAGAGCGTTGCAGTACGCCTCCATCTCCCCCGCGTTGTGTGCCACTCGGAAGAAGATGCTGCGGCGGTTGGCTGTGATGTAGCGCCCCTTGTGGATGATATGAAGAAGACAGCATCGCACGACCTAGGAAACAGTCCAAGGAATCCGTTAATAAACTCTCTACCACCTGAAAGACCACAATCTTTTAAAAAATTGTATTCATTCTTGACATAATTGAAATGAAAGGCAGACATAGCATTTTACATTGTAGCTAAGCCAATCATAGTTCTTTCATTGTGCACTCATCAAAGAGGCATTTCTTCTGGGTGTGCTTAAGTTGTAATTAAGATCATTGTGCTGAGCTGGAAGCGTAGAAAAGTGTGTGTGATAGCATGCCTACATGTGAGCATGTAAAAAAAAACTTGCTGCTTTACCAGGGTGTTACGGATTAGTGAGAGTGGTACTGCAGGGATGAAAAGGATTATAAATGTGGAAATGGAGAGGCTACAAAACAGTGCAGTGTTCATTTACTGCTATGCTAGACTCATTCAGTTGTGGTGGGCAACTGAGGGTCACGATGTTTCGTCAATAACTGTACAAGATAAAGTACAGTGGATACAGTAGTGGTAGATATTTGCAAGTTGGAGGAAAATCTGCAACATGAAATCAATCTGTAAAACAAATGGGCTGACCTTGAAACAAAGCAATGTCAAAGCAAAGAGGTGCTGGTGAATAGTTTTCACAGTACGGAGAATATAGATAAGAATGTACTGCCATATCGAGGTCTATTAATCTCCCAGCGGCACCAGGGATGAAGTGAAAACACATCTAAGACTCACACACACACAAAAAGATCTTAAAAACCATCTCAAAGCCTACCTTGACCAGTGAGCGATAGCCATTAGCAGGTATGTGTGGGTCAAAATCAAAATGATGGTAAACAGCAGCAAAGCCGGTGATAACGGGCTCCAGACTGCGAGCGTGCTCCTGGATCACATTCACGGCCTCCACCAGTCGCCTCGCTGCATCTCCCTGCGACCCCTTAGCTCCTCCTGAGAAGAAAGCGGCATTCTCTTCGCACACACTGTACAGGGCCGCAAACACTGCCTTGGTGTCCATCACTAGGAGCAGTTCAAGAAAGGAGGAAGGAAGAAGATAAAACAGAGGGTAAAATATTTGTTTTGTATGAGACTGCATGTAAATAATAAATACATTCTATTAATGTGATGATTTATGTTTATGAGTGGAGAAATTCTCTTTTTGCCCAGGCAAGCAACACCTGATGTAAAAGCATGTATCTAAATACTTAATGTTAAATACAGCACCTTTACGTATTCCCTAATCTGTGAAATCAAAAAGTATGGTATCACTATTTTCTGCGGGTACAAAAACTGCCAGCTGATATCCGATCCTTTGAGCACAAAAAGTAGCACTATGATCACTGTTCTGTACCACAACCATACAGAGCCTATAAAACATTTACCGTAGAAATGGTTTAAAGACGACAAGGATGTTCTGGAGTGGCTGAGTCAGAGCCCAGATCCCAGTCCAACTGAGAATTTATGGCTGGACTTGACAGAGCTTAAGCAACTTTGCAAAGAAGAATGGGGTAAAAAATTGCAGTGTCCAGATGCATAAGGCTCATTGAGACCCAAAATACTGCCTTAAAGGGGTTGAATACTTACGCAACCATTTTTAAAATTATTTAATTGAAATTATTTTCCAGAAATGTTTGACATGAAAGAATCCTTTTTTTTTGGTAATTTCTTTAAATTTCGTAAAAACCAAAATTAATTTGACCATGAATAGGGGGAATAGTACAAATAGTACAAAGTGGGATATCATTGATAATGACTTTTTCTGGTAATTAGACACAACAACTTTACTGTGCTAATTTATCAATCGTTACATCATGTTTACCCTATGAACTGGAAAATTACATTAGTTGCCCTAATAATTAGCACACACCCTCAAACATTTGCTGTTCAAACATCAACTGCAACAAGCGTTAAAAAAAATCAAGTGGATTCTTGTAAACCCCAAAGGCAGCATCTTGGCGCGGAGGCCGCCTATGCATGCTATAAAGCGAGCCGTTATTACCAAAGTGAAACATGGTTTTCACGATCAAACTATAGCACCCTTGTCATACAATTATTTTCAAATTCCCTGCCATTCTGGAGAAGTAATAGCAGAGACAATTTCAGTTTGCTGGAAGGAATCACATCCCAACGACATCTGCAAAGAAACACTTCTCAGCCAGACAATTTGTAATATGCACACATTCTACTGCATGAAAAATCTCTTCAGCTGCTACCCGTCTTCCTTTTTCTTGGCTCGTGTCTGCGTCTCATTCCACTTATCTTTCAGGGAGAACAATTTTTTCACGTCTTACAAGACACGTTCTCAACGGGCATGTTTTTCTGATATTAAATGCAAATTTGTAACAGTTAGAATTTAGAATGAAATTAATAAATCATGCCAAGTTGATGTGCTCTGAAATGTTTTAAGAGTTGGCAAAGCTGAACTGGAAAATACGCCTTATCTAAACAGACCCAAATTGAAACCCCAAATAATATAATTTTGAGTTACTCGTTATGTTGTTATGTCTCATGTCCCCCCTTCACAAGTCAAAGGGTTCAAATTTTTGCATAAAGAAACCATGTGGATGTGTGTGATGTTGCACTCAAGCCTTTGGTAAATGTCCCATTGAATGTAGGAGCCATTTCTTTGGCCCTGAGGAATACAAACAAACTGAAACAAATCAGCATAGCGTAACTAAATGGAAGGGCTACACATTAAAGCATTGCAGTGGAAATAAGTGTTTCGTTACAAAGTAAAGTTCTGGACACGCAAAGCTTAAGGTCCAACCTCAAATTGATTTTACTATGTGAAATGAATACTCTATCCGACATAAATGTGTCCCATGATTTAAGGGGAAATACAAACAGATTTTACACTGTGCTAAGCTAAATGGCCAAGTGTCTCTCTGAACTTGACATCAAGACTTCAACATGTGATTTCTGGCACCACTGTTTTGATTTGAGCCAATGGCAGGAAATTCAGACTGGGTCTATCACGACAAAATGTTTAATTTCATCCAATATCAATAATCGCGATAATAATGGGGCGGCTGTGGCTCAGGTGGTAGGACGGTTGTCCTCTGATCACAAGGTTGGCGGTTCAATCCCCGCCCTTCCACAGGCCAAGTGTTCTTGGGCTGAACCCGAAGTGGCTCCCAATGACAGACAGCACCTTGCATGGCAGCTCTGTCGCCACTGGTGTATGAATGTGTATCTACTCTCAGACGCACGTCCCTTTAGATAAAAGTGTCTGCTAAATGCAACTGTAAATTGTAAACTATTAAATTTCCTATTTTTAATAAAGGCCAGGAGAAAGAGGCTTATTTTACACTTGGGCACTTTACACCATTTATGGAGTTCATAATTTTGATGTTAACAGATACTTCTTTAAAATAAATAATGATAAAGGAATGATCTCACCTCGCCACACATTAAATAAAGAAAGGAAGTAAAACCCTCAGAAGCACACCACACTGAGTTTACGGTTCTGAGTGGCTGAGTGGACTGGGTGTCACCAGATGTGAACCCCACACTAGCCTCCATGTCTACCCTGACATGAAGTCTGTAAGGCCGTCGGAGCAGGCTGCCAGTGGTGTATCGTTTAAGTGCAGGTGGTCTGGGACACAAAGTGTTTCTAGACCACAAAGCCCATCTTGAAAAGGACAACCAACAGTCCCTACCAGCTTCTCCTCTCCTATGGGAGGTCTGAGGGTGCAGATGAAGCTGAGGAGAGGCCCTGGCGGTCGAGGATGAGTGTACCTCGTGAGACCGTTGGCTTCTGTAGGTCTTCCAGAAGCCAAAGGGAAGAGCCACAGAGGGCGAAGTGGCTCCATTATCAAGGACTTTGATCAAGGGAGCAGTAATGAGGTTTGTTCATGCAACTGAACTCTACTTTGTTTTTTTTAACCCAGCTTTCATGGTATCAAATGCATTTCAGTGAAACTGCTGAACATTCTATTGAACAATCTTCTTATTGCTGTTGATGAAGTGCAAACCGCCAGTACGAATTGGAGATTTTTTTTGATCGTCCATGCCTACATGAAATTTACTTTGGTTCTGTGATAACATTGCCTCATAAAGGCAACCTTTGACTGGACTGTACAAGACTACGGAAATAAAATGCAAACGTTTACCATAAAACTTCATCATAAAGATCAATGAAGAAAGCCAATAGGAGGACTCAAAGATGCCTCAACGGGTAACAACAAAAAACATCTGATGTCTCAGGTTTCGGCCAAGAATCCGTGGATTACACAGACTGTGAATGTTTAGAACCTGACAACATAGGCGGCAGTTACTTAATGTTCAACAATGCATTTACTATAGCAGCATAAAACTGGAAAGAGACACGAAAGGAACATTTATAAACATACTTCATCAATCAGCATCAACACAATCATTACGGTGTGGCCTTGCTGGATATGGTGACCGGTCCTGTCAAGCAAATGCCATGCTTTAGCAGTCAGACCAGTATGGGCAAACAGCCAAAATGAAGATTACATTACTTAATTAGAGCAGGGGATACAACTCTCTGATCTGAGCAAGCCAGCAGACCTAATGTTGACACAGTAAGCTCGGCCTGAACTTTACGCACCCTTGGATCAGCGTAAGCTGCTCTGAAACTTGCTTAATGTCATCGTAGCTCTCAGACATTACATCCCTATCTGCAGGGAGCATGTCATATGCAAATAATATGCAAATGAGCACTGTTAGATAGACTAGTATCATCTTATCAAGAGCTCACTCGGAGTTCAAACGCACAATGGTCCAGCGCAGACTTCACCTTTCCTTCACAATGCCTTAAACAGACAAACTATAAAGGGCACCTTACACTAAAGCCAGGACAGCTGTCAATATACGATCGATGTGAGTAAGAAAAACAAGACACTACTGGCCTTACCCTCTCGGCCTTTTATGCATCTGCAAATGCTCTAGGCTACTGCTAACTACATCAGTAATGAGCAACATGTTCCAACATCATCACTGTACGTTTTACTGCGTCGACTGTAAGCCCACTGCACCACTCAGTTGTACCTGGGCTTTCCACATTAAAGATGGATGAGTGTAGGCATTAATAAGTCATGTACAGCAAAAAACCCCAGCAACATTACAGGCATATAATGACTCCTGTGGGGCCGACAGATAGTGTGAACTGAACGTTTGCATAAAACCACCCACAGGTTGTTTCTGGCACAGCGTACAATTGATGGTATGTACAAACTATTGAAAAAGTGGAAGGAGAGAAAAAAAAAGTGTTTACCAGTATCTGAGTTCAAGGCTCTGTCCATGTCTGTCTCCTCTCTTCCACGAAAGCAATGAGAGCATGGAGAAAACAAAGAGAGGATGAGAGAGAGGGGAATGGAACGGAAGAAAGATACAGGCTTTTCCGATTGGTTCTGTTGTCTCTCTGCTTCTGTCGCTCCCTCGTCTTCACAATGTGTCTCTTCAACTCTCAGTCTCTGTAAGTCAGCCTGTCACAACCAACTCTTCTTAGAAGCAATGTGTTGTCTTGTTCTCTCTTCCTTCTCTGCCGGTCCCTCCCAAGTGTCTTTTAAAAAGGGTAGGGAATCTAGAGACCACCCCGGCCCAGTTAACTTTCTCCCTGTGACAGTCTAATTTGTCATTGGCTGTGAGCCTGCAACTCCCTGTGACCTTCAACTTACTTGGCAAAGTACGATCGATATTGGCACAGACACTATGATAGGGTTATGAGATGACGACGATAAGACTGTTGCAATTGTTCCGAGGTTTTTCCATTTTATTATTTTTGTTTAATAAGGTCAGCTGTAAAACACCTATTATCTTTATTTTTAAATGAATGTACTACTTCACATCCTGGAGCGACTTGTAGAATTGACTTGACAACTATTAAAATATCAAAAGTGTGTGACTAAACATCCCCTTACTACCCACTATGTTTACATTATTCTATACAATCTACATATATAATACTTATACATTATGGCATTCCTAATGTTAATACTTTTAATCGATCAACTGTATTAATGTAGAACCTTTGAACATATTTTTAAACTAATTTAAGCAGCAGAAATGTTCAGTATGTTCCAACTGTACAGAAACACTGATGGTCTGTAATGAACGCGGAGCATGATCAACACGTGAAAACCTAAAACCACATGGGGAATGTGTCATTTTGAGAATATTTTTCCTGAGGAAAATAAGACGTCAGATTTAACTTTTTGACTGATGACACAGATGACAGCCTCATAACTCTATGAATGGACACATGATGACCCCTCACCCACTCATAGAAACACAGAGATACACAAACACCCAGAAGAACACTGACACACCATCACGGAGTTCAAGAAAAATGTTGCTGTCTTCGTTCTTGTTCTTTGTCTTGTTGTTATTCATGGCTCTAAGAGGGCGTTAGCTTTATCTGCTTTCTGACAGATGTTTCTAGTTTTAGCAAAACAGAAGACGCTCCGGGGTCCAGGTGGGTTCAGAACTTATTATTACTCCAAAACTGACGCTCTTCATTCTTGTATGCTTTCTTGGGTTCCTGTCACTTTTCACCTTTTAGGTAAGTTTATTTGTTTATCTATTTATGTGTTTATTTGATCAGGGATCATGTATTTTTACATAGAAAACATCTGATGTATAGCATATAGAGTGTATAGCATTAAGCTAATTGTCAACTCCTGTTCCTGGATTGGCTTTTCAGTAAAAATAGACAAATGACCAACAACACCATTAAAAACAGCACAGACAACATTATGAACTTATAATCCTCCACCCACCCACCCGCACGCACACAATGGCACAATCCACAGTCAGTCGGACCTTATACATGTCATAGGTGGGTACACTCTTGTTTTTCTTTCAGCCAGTTCTTAACTTTTGCTGTTAAAGTTTTTAAATCTGCTAATGTACTAATTTCATTTGGTAATGTGTTCCAGATGTGATAACCTTTGATTGAAAAGGCCGTCTGATCAACCGTAGGTCTGCGGTAAACTATTTTGCAGTTGTTGTTGGTGGAACTTCTGGTGACCCTGCTGCCATCCTGCCTGTGGATGAATCCACAGAGTGGCTGTGGCGTAAATACACAATGTGACTTATATATAAAGAGACAGAAACTAAGATTTGTTCTTTTGTCTGGAAAAATCTTTCTTGTTTATATCTGTGGCTGTAAGTTAGCGGGCTCTTTCCTTACACTCACCACATTCGCAGGAGTCGCTCTATAACGGAGCCGGATCTTAATGTGGATATAATGAACTGTGCTGATCTCATAAGTCTTTTTGTTTCCCAACAGATACATTCAGTCAAAATGTTAAGTCTATTTAAAAGTAACAGCAAAGACATGAAAACACAGTGGCCGTTCCTTGAACTGGAACTCGCCATCACAATGTCCTCATTGATCTATGCAAGGAGAAATTCGCAACATGTGTTGAGAAATGTACCCACTTGTTTTTTTTCTATACGATACATGTAGTCCTTTTTTCTTTTTAAGAAACTCTTGCACATATCTGATACTCCAGTAATGTCACGTCTACAGGAACCCTGGTTTAAAAACAGACAACTTCAAGCAGTTCACAGGGAAGAGGAAGAGCCTACAGCTGGGCCCCTGTAGTGTCATGTGTTGTAGGTCTGACCCCTCTTCCAGACAGAGTACCTTTACACACACAAGGCCGAACGCAACAACAGGAAACTAGCAACAATGGGCCTCCACACCCCCATCCACATAAAGGGCTTACTTCGGTTGTATGAGACAATGCCTCACATGGAAAAGAAAATTAGAATTTCCATAAATCGATGTGCGCCAACAAGTAAGATTAGGTTTAAAGAAAGTCTTCTAATCTTATTATACTGATCTAAATCATCTAGAAACACATCCTTTATTTTATTAGCAAATACACTGATAATGTGCAGAATATTTTGAAATACCTTGACTTTTGTTACATTATTGGCCTATTACATTTTAAAAATGGCAAACTCATTATGTTATCTGACGTTTTACCTTATTGGCTTCTACATATCTGACGATGCTAAAAATAAAAATTTAAAAAAAAAACTGTTTGTTGACCCTGTTAAAATGTTGGAAGTGGTTGGATTGTTCCAGGAGAACAGAGCTGAAGTTTGTGAGGGTATTAAATGCCAACAGCTGATTCACTGTCCCTGCAGGCGGCATCTCATTAGGTCTGCCCCATATTTCGCAGGCGGTCTATTCGTCACCGTGTGTCAGCCTACCCTCACAGGCAGACTTAATAACAGCGTCACCATCAGTTCGCTTAATCGATTTATGCACAGTGCAGTACAACCGATACCTCTCTTCCTGACACTCACAGCATAATCTCGTTAATCTAGCCCCCCCACCACCACCACCACCACCACCACCATCCCTCCCTCCCCTCTTGCTTTTGTTGGGAGTACCTGTTCAGGTGGGTCCTGTCAGTGTCAGAGGTTGACACTAAGGGCACAGAAAGTGAAGAGTGAATATGAATGCATGTAAAGCCAGATAAAGGCTCGTGCAGAAATGACTACAACTAACGGTGTCGTAGCTATGACTGGGGGGTGAAGCTCCTGAGCAGGGACAGAGTTTGACAGGACATTTTTTTCAGAGACACTTTACAACAGCATACTACTATATTTCCATAATACCGACTTTTTATGTCACAAAGCAGTAAGTGGAACTAAGCTGCTGAGGCGAACACAGCGGCGGCTACTCAAGGACGGCTAACCTAGCCGCTAACAGCACGACAGCGGGACGGGAAAAGGGGCGAGCTATTGAAGGGAAAACCGACAGGAGGGGGCGGCGAGGTGGACACAGCAGAGGAAGAAAACTCACCCACTGGACCCTCTTTGTGTTTGGACGAGCGTCTTCCATTCACACCTTTCTCCAATCTGTTATTTACACCACCCTTCTTGCCCGACGCCATCTTCGCCCACTCTGTTTACGCACCGCCTCTCTCATCTATCCTACATACCTACCTGGGTAGTCCGAAGCCCCGCCCACCGCCAAAAATGGCAGCCAATGAATGTCCGCGTCTCGGGATTTTAGCCAATCACCGACACGTGATATTTCAAGGCTCCGCCCAGTTTACTTGGTTGGACAACTTGGTAAAGAAAGAAAGTGAGCCTTATTCATTCATGACATCCACAAAGACGTTTGTTGTTGTTGTTGTTTTTAACACTGTTTATTCTTCCAGTAATCACAGAAACAATAGAAAGCACACAGATTGTCACACATCATGAAGTCGCACAGTAGACATTAATTTTATAGAAGCTTATATAAACATTAAAGAAGCTGATAGCAAAAAATAATCCCACCACAAGGGACTGTGAAGGAGTTCATTTGTGCACAATCTCCTCTGCAACTAGCATCTCGTGAGCATTTTTCACTGTTGATCATCTGACCAGCATTTCATATTCTTTGTCCTAAAAATAGACAGCACACACAGCTGTTTGTTTTAATGAACAAAATAGATGAAACTTAAGCGGGCTAAAATCCTGGTAACAGCTCTAAATAAGTAGTATGACTGTATTATCAACGGCTATTTTAATTTTTTTAAAAGACTGAATGTGGTTAAGCAATATGTTTTCAGACGCTAAAGATTTCACACACTTCACAATCTTCTCTCTTGGCTTCCTTTCATGGTTTCTCGAGCTGCGCTTCCTCCCCTTCTTCCACAATGTTGGCCACATCCTGGTACTGACCCATTGCCTGGGAGCGTTCAATCTGATCATAAGTTGCGCAACAATCATCCAGATTTAGCCCCTGGTTGTGAGATAAAGAAAAAGGAAATCAAGTAAGCACAAAAAATACATAAAACACATTCATATTAATTATTGATTAGTGACGTAGCATGTTCATTCATATCTTTGTTCCTCTGTTCAGGAAAGTAGCTCCTCTGGAAAAACATGCATTTGAGTTAAAGCAGATGTGACTCATTTAATTTTCACCTGATATATGTTTTCCTCTTCCTTCTTCTCTTTCTTCTTCTGCAGTTCATGTAAGGTCTTTGACTGTAAGAGGAGTAACAGAAGTTGGTAAATGGTGCAACTTCCCACCAGGGAAAGGCAGGAAACACGATGAAAAATATCAATTTGAGAAATGTGAATCAGTGTGAGGTAGGAACAACTGAAGTAGGACTGTTCTACATCACCATTTGTGGTGCGTTGACATGAATGATAAGGCACAGCCCTTATTATGAAAGTTTGGAAATTAAGCATGCTACTGGTCCGGCGGTTTGTTGACAGATCAGTGTTTAATAATGTGACATTCCAACCTTGAACAGAAGCGTGGCGGAGGGCACCAGCACACACAGTAACAGCAGGATTCCCTCGGCTGTCAGGATCTTGTTTTTGGTGCTTTCCGTCATGTCTATTGTCTTCTCAAGTGGCTCTAAGTGTGCAGAAAGGGTTCAGAGGGGAAACAGGCCAAACAACAGTTGCACATTTAGGCATGTGAATACAAATACTTTTTGTCTTGGCAGCAAAGATGCACATTTAAAAGAACCTGGAGTGCATAAAAAAAAACAAAAACAGACTGAATAATTACTCAACAGACATTCAATGAGATTTAGGTGTTATGTGTTAGACCGACGTGTTATATAACTGTTCTATTCAGTTTAAAATACATAGACTAATATACAATTGCTAGTATTGTTAGGTCAGGGGTAATGGTGTGCTTGGAAACTAATGCAGGTTATTTCACACGTAATCCCAAGAGTTTGGTGGTTTTACATTTCCACATCTTCCATCTGTATTTAATGAGATTATGATGCAAAATGGCATTCAGTGTGACTAATGTTTTTACACACTGATCACCTGCAACTTGATGTAATTTTGGCACTATTTAAAGTAAACAACCTGGCAGCAGCCTGTAATGCGACCATCCTGATGATGCAAAGATTAACTAAGTTGCAATATGCAAGAACGCTGCCACTCAAACAGCTCTTGGACAGACTAATGTTAACAGGATTTATGGCTTATGAGGTGTAAGCGGTGCTTAAAGCTCGCTAGACTCTATGACTGTATGTTAAGCACACACACACACACATGCAAACGGGAATTTCTGATTGGTTTGTGCTGCTGACACACACACGCACTTACTGTAGACGTGAAGGTAGGTGCCATGAGTGAACTCTTTACTGCTGTTCAGCAAACACTGGTACAGTCCAGAGTCATTCACTTGGACTGGCGCGAAGGTTAGGATGCTGCACAAAGTGTCATCTTCGGAAGGCATATTCTGCAAAACCCTATTGCTTTGCACACTGACAGTGCCGTTGCCAGATTTACGACGTTTGAACCAAGTGACCAGCTCTGGCTTTCCTTTGTAGCAGCAAAACAGTTGAGGAACGTCAGAGACCAGCACCCTTAAATAGGGTCTGTCCGCCTTTAAAATCACCTCAGTCCGAGTAATACCTACTGTGGAAGAAGCAGTAAGAACATGACATACTGTTTTCTGCATTTGTCAAATTATTCAATTATGGTTGCATATATTGTCATAACATGGCATAAAGTGGGAATACAGTGTAAGAAATAAGCTTAATAACAAAAATAAAGAAAATGATCTGTAGATTTACAGCAAAGCAAACTAAGGAAGCAAAAAAGAAAAATCCCCCATGATGGCATGGCCATCTGTTTTTGACAGGAAGTGTGGTTCACTGGAGCAGGCCTCAGAAGAGCTAAAAGTAAAAATGCTATATAGAGTTCATACATACACGAGACTGACGTGCAGAAAGCTCGAATTTCCACAAAACCAGAGAACAATTGCTCTAACTCTTTAAATTTGTGAGCTATAATGAAAATAAATATAACATTTTCACCAAATGACACTATTTCAGCAACTTTAGTGCCCAAAAACAGTAATTCAACTCACCTGCCAAGCTGCAGAGGACAAAGATTACTGCTATTCCCATTTCTTTTTCTTCTTCAAATGTTGAATCCAAAAATAATCATAAAAAAACAACTGCAAAATTCAAGTAAAATTCTGCACACGATGATCCAACCTTCCTTCTTTGTAATGACACTCTGGTGTCTTGTTTTTCTCTGTCAGGATTTATGCTTGAATGAAAACAGACCACCCCTCATTTGCATAGGCACTGCATCTGAAACCTTTTTTTTAAAAACCAAACAATACATTATATAATTTTCTTCCATATGATGTTACACAGTTTATGTGTCCTTTTCTTTTAATATATACGCCATACATTTATAAAGGATATAGAACGGAAAAGGTATATGGTCCAAGGAATCGTGTTCGATTTATATCTGGGCTTTATCTTCAGGTTAAGTCAAGCCCAACTGTCCCTGAACAATTAGCTCATGAATCTGTATAAAACTATAACTGACTGCTAACTATAAAATGACAAAACAGGTAGTTATTTCCCCAGTTTATTTAAAAAAAAAAAAAAAAAAAGACTTAAAAAACAAAACGTACCACAATGTTCCTTAGGTATACATCATTAAAGAGCCTCTTACACAATAAAAAAAATTAAAACTCAAATACACAGTATAGTTCTTGCATATTCATTGTTTATAGAAAGACAAGATGGCAGATGCCAGTATGACAAGCAGCAGTGTGTTTTCTATGCAGGGCTGAGTTGGTAGGGGGCACAAATCTTGCTGATGTAATGGAATTGGACAAAAAAAAAAAAAGATTGCGTATTCACAACATGTCAACATACAACCACAGCCCTCAACCCTAAACCCACCCAATCAGAATCCTGGGATAATCTCTCATTGCTCATTAGTTATTTGGTCAATATGTCCTTTTGTGTGAGGTCCTCAGTGAAAAACTAAAACAACAGCGATTGTGTTTGACTTAAGAGCCCTTTATGAAGAAAACAACTTGATCATCAGAACAAGGCACCACTCTATAAATATATTTTCTATACATTTTGTAAATAGAATACATGAGGGGGAAAAAAAAAAAAACGCATCTGAAGGAGAGAGATCGAGAAGTGCCTGTAGTAGTCATTCAGCCAGTGAAGCCTGAATGCATCACTGGTGGTAACTGGCTTTTATCTGCTCACCACTATTGGTAAACAGCTAAAAGCCCCTGGTTGAGATCATCTCTTTAAATGCATCCCATAGGTAAAGCTTAACAGCTGCAATGCAGACCGGGCTGACATTACAGGAATCTGTCATGGTTACAATATTTGCATAAATGTTAGACCGATTCATGCATAGACAAGTTACAGACAAGTCCTGTCTCTCACCAATACAGCAAACGCATAGTACAAAAATCACAATACACTTCTTTGAAAAAAAAACAAAAAAAAACAATGGGAAAAAACTAACAAAAAAACGTCCCAAACTGTTGAAGCAAATGAAATACACAACATGTGACTTGTGAAAAGAAAATAACAAAAATGTACAGTAGGAAAAGATGATTATGCCATCAAGAGAGGTGAGTGTGTGTTAGCTAATAAGCTTAATAAACACAGGGGGGATGGGGAGTTTTTTTGTTCCTTCAAGCTAACATTCATGTAATTCATGCAGTTTTTTTTAAAAAAAGATGAAGACATAGGGAGAGGTGCCAGTAATGTTCAAACACAAGCTTATATAAGTTTGCAAAGTGTGATGCTCAAGTAGCTAAACTGAGTCAACCTGCTGAGGTTCAGTAGGTTCAAAGGCAGCGTTTGTTGTTGTGGAAACAACGACGAGAATGTATATCAGGAAGTGATCATGATTTCAGTGTTGGTAATGGCAACATTGGAATGAGACTGCAGTTTTTTTCTTTCTCTAAACCTTCAACGACTGCTTCAGATCCTCATCTGGCTTCCACCGTCTTGTTCTTTTGTTCTGTGAAGGATCAGGTCCCATTAGGTCGACTAGGTAGGAGAGATGCTAGCAGTGCTTGGTCTCCGGTCCTCTATTCAGTACAGTACAGCTTGTTTCAGTCACACCAGCATTTACTCAGTGACCCAAATAGACTCAGAAGACAACGCTTTCATTCACTGGTTTGCTGTTGGACGTCACTGAAATGTAAGCGAGAAATCTACAGATTCAGTTTGAATTTGGTCATATGATTTGAACAGTCCACCATTCCTTATCTATCTGGTATTTACTTGTACATTCTCAGAAAAAAAAAAGAAGAAAAACTCAACCACTTCATTCATGTATGTGCTCCTAAAAAACCCTTTAAGTGAGTTGCAACATGTGAGAGAGAACACTGGGGAGTGGAGAAGCAGCTGCTGACTGCCGTCGCTCCTGCATCAGCGTTTTGTGATGTGGTACTATACAGGTGAAAGTAAAAATTAAAAAAAAAAAATCAGCTCGAATGAGGATCGAATGGTGCTTTGCTTTGTCTTTGGTCCTGTGTGCACAGCCAGAGTTATGGCACTACTCTGAAATCCTATCACATAATTACAATCAACTGCTCAATAAAATGCAAAGGCAACTCAATTTGGATACAAATATTGCTAACAGGGAATAATAGACTTTTTTTTTTGTTTTTTGTTGTTGTTTTTTTTAACTAATACACATAGTATCCAATGTCATATAATACAATTTATTACCTCATCTCAAGTCTGTGTCCTGGATCAGGAGTTATGAACCCTCTCTAGGGGATAACTGCAGAAATGATGCTGGCATTTGTGTCTGTTGTAAGCTCTCTGTTTGGGTCTACTTGAGTACAGAGAGTGCAAACCTTAATGTTCCTGTTCTCTTTTCCTCATGACCGTCGAGCTCAAGCTATCTAAACCGAAGCAACGGGAACCTGTAAACCAACCTACATACCTACATGTCTCTGTATCACTCTCTGCCTTCATCTGTGCTCCACATTTCAGGTTTGCCTTCTTGTGTCCGGCTCTCGTACGTCGCCCTCTTTCTTTTTGGCCCAGTGTTGTAACAGTTTAACTCAGATGAGGCAACTCACTGACCTGACAAGACTCAGAGGAATAAATAAAAGCGGTACATACAAACAAGTTCTCATTATTAACAACATGACTACCTATAGTTCCACTATTTATAAATGTTGTTGTTTTTTTTAATGTGACCTAATTACAATAGGAACCCTCCAAACATACATAATTCATTAAAAACTTTGTAACACACATACACACACTGTCTTGCATGCATCTTTTCAATAATGGGGGCTTTCCATATGAAGCCCAACTGTTCAAGAACCATACTGAAGAGACTAAAAAATGAAAGATTTTGCAAAACAGTGCATGTTTAACTTGCTTTGATCAGAAGAAAAAAAGTGCATCTCTGTTGTACTTTGGCATAGACTAGAAATAACACTAAATATCAGCAGTAGTATTTCAATACATCATCTTGTGCTACATTGGCCTTTTAAGGCTTTTCTCCTTTATTTTACATCTGTTCTTGGCATTGATGTAAATTATTTTCCAGCCTGCATGTCTCTGGTGTGCGTATGTGTGTTACAGCATATTGAAATCACTACGTTTTGTTAGGCAGCATCTCTCTCACAGCAAAAATATTGCTTCATTTCTTGTGGCACCTCTCTGCAAAAAAAAAAAAACAGCCTCCCACTCAAAAGTAGGATGTCTCTTTTTTTTCTCTTCTTCTTTGTTTAACTATCAAGCATGCACGCAAACACACACACACACACACATACACGTGCGCACACCTCCCATCTTCCATCACTGAACCACTCCACGGTGCTGAAAGCCCTCCCTCCTCTCCAACAGGCTGAAAACTTCCTGCTGGGCTGCAAACAGCCTCCATACAAACGAATAATGCAGCAAGGGTTCAGGCAAGACGTATGAGGGTTTAGGGATTTCCAGGAAAGCCGCTGACTGTCACTCAGTCCAAGGCAGGACCAATAAAAACCTAAAGAGAAGATAAGGGAGATTTTTTTTGTTAGATAACGACATATAAAATTAATCAGTGTGATGATGAGCGAGGCCACAACTCCTTCTAGGAATGGGGATGCATGTCTCCATCATACTTTTGCAGTTTGATTTACCCAGAATCAGAACCAAAAAAAGCTTTACTGCCAAATGAGCTTGCACAAACAAGGTCTTGGTTACATGAAACACACAGTACTCACAAAGGGCTAGTAAAACAACAAGAGTTAGTACGCAATAAATATAAAATTGTCATCTAAAGTCCTAAGGTTTTAAAGCCATAAACATTGAATTTACTACCAAAAAAACAAACAAAAAACTGCGGCATTATATTTACATAAATAACATAAATCACAGTGTAAAAGAACTGCAGATAGATTACACTATTAATTAAACATGAGTCCGTTATTTGAGGATTCTATTTGTGATTAACTGCTTTACTCACATATAATATGCATCAATTATCCAATGATTTGCACACCATGTTGTTTTTATGTTTTACCACCATTCATACATCTATATTACTTCTTAGCTCAAATGTCGTTTCTCTGTTCTCTAGGTTGATTTCTCCTCTTTTAATGCTATTTTATTCTTGAGTATATATTTCTGTTTCAACTTATATATCTCAGGTCTGATTATGTTTAAGTTGTCGTGCTGTTTTATCTTGGCTTTTTTAAATAACTTTACCAATTGACAAGTGCTAGAAAAATAAAGTTCACTAATGCGCATTTATTACATTACAAGCCAAATACCCAATTTCATTAGATTTAATTTGCTGGATTAATGCTAGAAAGAAAAAAAACATTTAACAAACAAACGTGCATCTATCCAGTTCTGTAGCTACGCCCTTAATGACTTAGACAGATACTTAGCAGCAGTGTCACACTATGAATGCTGTTTCAACAGCAGAGTTTTTTGAAATTATGACTTTTTTAAAAATATTTTTTCTTCACAACCAGCACTCCTATCCACTTAATATTCCACATATTGAACACTTTTGGGATTGTCTATATAAGTGTCAAGTTTGAAGTGTATGGCCTTATTACTGTCTGAGATAATTGGAGTGAAAAATGCTACTAGAGGCTAAAATTTTTCATGAATTTTCCAATTTTGGAAGACAATTACTCAGTAACTGCAGGGAGCCCACTTGTGGAACTGTTTGTGGAGGAAGTCCAGCTGATTTACTTGATTAAAACCACAATTAAAAGTATTTCCCACGATACTGGAACAGAAGTCAATTACTAGGCACTTTCTAAGAGCTAGCCTATGGCGTAGAACAGCAAAGACAAAGATGGCCAAGCATGACCGGATACATTGTGGCCAGCTTGTTCATTGGTATTGTTAATGTTGTGGTAAATAAAGGGGAACTGGCTTATAGCAAGAATAAGTTTTTTTTCCTAATTCCTCAAACAGAGCTTGTTGGGAGAAAGAAAGAAAGTAATGATGGTGAAACAAAAACATGTGACTTGTTGATGCTTCCTTCACCAGGTCATTGGAGCAGTTGAGGATAGCTCACAGACTCCCATTGAACATGACTAGCAGCCTGTTGCTTTTCCACCAGTAGCTTGAACACACCATAAATACCGTCTTCTCACCTCGTGGCCAGCAGGTGGAGTGATGGCGTCTTACTGGAAGTTACCGCGTTCCAGTGAGAACTCGGAGAGGGCCTCCTGCAGCCTGTGGTACTCCTCTTCTACATTCTGCAACACACAAAATCAATATCACCTTAGGAACTGAGAACACACACATACACACACACACACACCTCTTAACATCCTCTCTTCGTCTCCCTCGCTGTTTCTCTGACACATCCCATTGCAAGCGCTGGACATAATAGCCATTTTTACAGAAGTCCAATTTCACAAGGCAATTTTGAGCGAAGCAATAACAGCAGTGGTTAAACGGTTTTCTATTCTCTAGTTTCTCTTTTGTGCCATTTGGCCCCATTTGTCCAACACTCCCTCCTTACTTAAGTTATCCTCGCTGAAATCCTTGATGCCAAACTCTGTGCCTCTTTCCAGTCAGCTCCCATCTTTTGTTATGTCTCACATCTTCATCTGACCCTGTCATACTACCCGCTCGCTGCTCATCGTTTTTTCTCTGTGTTCTTATCCATCTAACTGTGTGTTCACCTGTAGTCTCTTTACTCGTTCCTCCAGGCTGTGCAGCCTCCTGCACACTTCCTCCATCCTCTCCTGGGATAAAACCAGGGGAGCACTGATGCTCTTCTCCTCGTCTCCTTTCGTCTCTGCACCTTCTTTTTCACACGTGTTGGCGTTTACCACTTCAGACCCTCCGTCTCCGCTCTGATTTTCCTCTGTGGGAAGAGAGACTCCATTCAGATGCCTTAGCAGTGAGCCGTGTTTTTAGGTTGTACTAAATTAAAAATGATTAGCAGTTGAAAATCCCCCGACAGCGCAAGCTCGTCGACATAATGTTGCTCCAAATAATGTTGCTGTATTAAATTAATGCTTCATAATGTGAGGAGGAATAGGGATTTCGTTTCTTGTTCACTTTCACTTAATGGCAAAACAGGTCATGTAGTTTAACTTTTGGAATGAACAAGAGGTAAAAATCGATTCTGCCATGAAGAAGTAAATGAAAACTGTTGATAAAAGTGAATTATTCATAATAATACGTTCGAAGTTAAAATAGATGAAGGCAGTTTTCAGACATTACACAACATGGAATTATAACAGAAATGGACATGTGTAATAAATAGGCATATAAGACTTTTTCCACTTGATTCCAGTCTTTATGCTAAGACAAGCTAATGGCTTGTTGGCTCTAGCACCATTTTTGGCTTACAGATGTTACAGTGGTGTTTAGAACCTCATCTATGTCTCTGAAAGCAATCAAATGTCACACTATTTATTGAAATAAAACACCAACCAGTTGACTGACAGCTATCCATTTCTTGATTGGGCCTCTCCGGTTGCTCCTCTTCATTTTCTTCATCGGGTTTTGAGTCGTCTGATAGACTGATGCTGGCTACCAACAGTCTTTTCAGTGACTTGACTAACATAGGAGACAGATCAAGTGGTTTCATTAGGTAGGCAAGCTACTATTAAACAAAGCCAAGATGAAAAAGAATGACATACAAATCATTAACAGAGGTACAGGGACGACCCCCTACTCACCTTCATCCAAAGCACTACTGGCCACCTTCTCCTGATCGCTGTTGGAGTGGCCTATCAAGTCAAAGCCTTTTTCTGACAGGAAATCAATCAGCCTGTGCCGGGGATCTGTGGACTTTTCATCCGTCAAACTGTCCTTGTCTCGATCTACAGACAGGAACAAGGCTTAACTTTGGCTTGTACATTCAGAAATGTGTAACGTTGGCAAATTTGTTCTATTTGTTAAGTGTTAAGCTGATAAAGCACTGCGGCCTCACCAATGCTGCTTTTCAAACTTCCATTCTCAGTCGGGCTCAAAGGGGCATTTAGCCTGACGGAGAGAAAATGACGAAAGAAATAAGATATTTTGAGATGTGTGAGCTTTGGCAGGCAATGAAAAAAAAAAATATATATATATTGCTCTTTTAACTGACAACACACACATGCACACAGTGACACATACGTGGGACTGAAGGGAGGCATTCCACTTCCTGGAGGCAGAGTCAGCCTCATGGGCGCACCGCTCTTTTTCAGATCATCCACCGCTGTCTTTATCACCTCAGTCCAACTAAAAATACACACACAAATAAGGTGACAAATCATCCTTTGATTTACCTTCAAAAATGATCATTCTGTACAATTTTCTTCGACACTCACGCTTTCATTTCTCCAACAGACTGAGCCACCAGTTCATAGATTTGAGCTCCGCTTTCCCAGGTAAATATCACGTAGAAAGCCTTTCGATCTGACAGAAAAGGAAAAAAACAGCAATTGGAAGGCTGAGTAATATTGATCTCTCCGTGGAAGTGACCTCCACTTGTCTGCGAACCTACTGTACTGTTTTGAACAGCTAACCTGTGGCCACCTCACGGAGGAAAACGGAGTCCAGCTTAATAATGGGGCTCAGCATCTGCTTGCCCTCCTGCACAGCGATGTTACTCTTGCTCTGGCATTTGAGGACCATCTTGTCATCTTGCCTCTGGAGGAGCACCAGCAGGTCCCCGAGCAACACACACTGCACATCTGAGAGAGGGGAAGAAGAAGGAGTGGGGCAGGGTAATAGGGCAGTCAGAGAAGATCTATTCTCATTCCCACAAAGGGTACATAAACCACTGTGGACTTTATTTAGATAGTCATATTTATCAGTGCTTTATTTTTATTTTATTTTTTTCCAATTCCAAATAAAACAATTTTGGGAACTGGTAAAGTATGCACTGATAATAACTCTCATAACCTCTTATTGTTTTTAGTTTTGTAATTAAACATGCTTTTGCTTTCGCTTTGTCTTGCAGTGCACTGAAGTTTAGGGGAAATAAGCTGAACTAATAAATACAAAAAAAGGGAGCCAAGAGGCCACTGTGATCTCAGTCAGCCAGCTCGGTACATATGGGTTTCCTGTTATTGTGTATTCTGATGAAAAATTTAAAAAAAGAGAAGTGAAATAAGAGAAATGATGCCAACGTTGCTTCAAATAAACCCTTCTTTCCAAGTGTTTCTTTTTCTTTTGGAAGTAGATACATTTTAAGTGAATAGTGTCAAATAAATAATAAATATTGAAGTGTGTTTAGGATTACTGGATAAATAAACTGCTTAATTTAGCTGCTGGACAAAAAAAGTTCTACAAAAATTGTAAAATCTCTCACAGATTTCTGACCTTGTTGCCGAGAAAGCAAGGCACCTACACACAAGTATACGTAGTATTTACCAATAGCCTTCTCCTTGGTGACTTTCCAGGTCAGTGGGCCTTCATAAAGCATCTTCTTCTGAGTCAAGTCAATGTTCTGTTACAAACAAAGAGAGAATAACAACAAAATCTTGTAAATAAAAATCTGTACGCAGCCCGTTACAAAATCTGTCGAAAGAAACTCACCTTGTATTCCGTATAAAGTTCATTACTGGGTTTAAGCCCCGATGTGTCCAATCTACGCTGGTAGTCCTTCACAGTCTGGGAGCAGAGCGAGAGATTAGGGGGTCAGACTGTACTCTATCTGACAGAAGTAGCCTAACAAGCAGAAACCTTCACAAGACTTAAGATGAATTTACTAGACCTCAATTGGTGCTGAATTACTACATAACAGTTTGTTGAGTGGTGGATTGTGTTTCTCTTACCAACAGGTTCTCCATTACTTTGACCTCCTCGTTGACGTGGTTGAGGATCTTTCTGCAGCACTCTGCGCTCTGCTGGATCCTCTCCTTCTCCACTGGGTCGTCTGTGGAGAGAGCGAAAGCAGAAGTGAGGAAAACATAGCTTTCCCAGCAGTGCCTAAACAGAAGCCATAAATCACAAGTGCTCACAAAACACTTTTGAGAAGAGAAAGTAATCAGTTGTACATCTTGTCTATGTAGCTACACACACACACAGACACACACACACACACATACACACACTCCCACCCAAACACACCCACACAGGCACCATATTTCACAATTTAAAGAACTCGTTTCTATCATAATACTCAGTCTCAATATATCCATATCAATGTAAGTAGCTGCATACCGACCCATACAGATCAGACAGCAACAAGCAGGCCTTGGACACACACACACACACACACACACACACTCACCTGTGTTCTTGGCGATATTCTCCAACAGCAGTGGATACTTGGTCAGTCTCTGCATCTCTATAGGAATAATGTCCTTGAGCTGCAGCCTGCGGCACTGGGGCCTACTCTCTGCCTCCTGGGATTAATACACACACACAGAGTCAGAATGAGACCACTTACGTGACTTCTTGCACGGCCTTGTACCTGTGAGTGCATCCATGTACGTCTCTGTTAAATCTTTGAGAACTTATTTTTGGGCAGTCCGTCTGTTTCTGTGTGTGTGCGTGTGTCACCTGTATAAAGGCATTGAAGCGTGGCTCTTTCCTCTGTCTGCTCTTGATCTGATCCAGGGCCCACGACTGGTGACTGCAGAACCGGGCTGTCAGTTTCTGGAACCACTCGCCCTCTGTACCACCGAACTACAACACACACACACACACGACACTACAGTCAGATATGGTGTTGTGCTAGACATCAGTAAATAGAATGAGAGGAATAAAGAGAAGTAGAGCTGTTAAGATTAAAGACAGATGACGAATATAACTGTGTTGATATCATAGCCGCTATTTTCTTATAGATACTCGTCAGCATTTGCTAAAACTGCAAAATCATATTTTGACATTACCGTTCAATTACATTTAACTAAATTGTTCTCACATATCAGTTGGTGTGTTCCTGAAAGCAACTACTGAGCATAGACAGAAAAAGAGAAACACTAGGAGGACTCACTCTGTTGAGCACTGTGGTGCTGATGGATTTAACTATGAAGTTGTCATCCAGCCGCAGTCTTTTCAGGTTCTCGTAGAAGTTATCTGAGATCAGAGTGAGAGACAAACACAGAGTTCAGTGTGTTTCCTAAATGTCCTTGCAGTTTAATTAGCACTTTGCATGCTATGTCTAATATCTAATTATTGGTTTGAGCAACAAATTTAGACACAAACAGACACAGAAGTTCAGCGACAACACAAAACACACTAGTACTGAAAGAGGTTGGGTAGCTTTTTTCAAATGATGTTTTTTTTTTATATATATAAAAGATTTTTTACTGTGCACCACAAATGGAAAGGAGGACGGTAAATTCATGTCTGACTCTGGGAGCACACAAACAATTCAGAAAAGCTTCTTTGCAGCAGCACTCACAGTGCATTTCAATGATCTCATCGAGGTTGGGGAAGATGGTGGCGACCTCAGTAGTGGTCAGGAGCTCTTCTCTCTCCAGTGGCTTCGAGAAGACCATCTGAAGGACACTCAGCATTCGCATATGGGCGTACTCTGTGGCAAACAGCTCTGACAAGGGAGACAGTAGGGACAGTTTAAGTGATGCCAAAAACACCTACAAAAACAGTCTATGCTAGCTGCACGCCTGTTTTCTTCTTATCGTGTGTTGCGTTATCTGTTTTCTTCTCACCATTAATAACTTCCTGCCTTTTGGTCTCCTTCTTGCTGAGGCTGGCCAGGGCTTCAGGAGAGGCCAGCTCTCTCCAGTTGGGTGGGTCCTGCTCAAACTCCAGAAGGCGTGGCTCCATCTCTTCCAGCTGTGGTGAGGGACAGGTGGGGGATTGGCCAGGCCCTTCAGGAACTAAAACTGTCCCATCAACACTAACCAATGAATGGAGTGGGAGAAAGAAAATCAAGTTTAGAATGTTTATTACCACCGAAAACCAAGTGTGACCCAGGACCCTACCAAGTGATGTGAGACACACTCTGGCAACACAAGTGGAGGTTGTTGGCTGAGGCTCAACACTGCTGGTCTTTTTTAATTGTGAATGGCTTAACATTACATAATACAAGGAAGTTAAAAAGCTATATCTAGCAGATGAGCTACCAATAAATGTCTAGCTAATCTTGTAGCTCGACTGCAGTATCAAGTAGAATCTGACATTACTGAGTGCATGTTAAGATGCAAAATGAGCAACTAGCTACTGATAGTTTACAATCACAAACAGGTAATGGTTGAGGTAAAACCAAACTGAAACCTTTTCAACTACAAACCTGTGATTCACTTGTGATTACTGTATTAATGAGATGACAATAAAAGCAGAGAAATGTATTTACTGAATGATGTTGACCTCTGTTAGCTTACTCAGGACACGTTTTTTCCCCTCTGAGTCCTGTTCAAGTGATGGCGTTGCCAGGATTTACATTTGTAAAACAGCAAGTAAGCTAAGCTAAAAGCCTGGCACTTAAAGATGCCGCCAATATTGTTTATGGTATATTTCAAGTGTTTAAGTGACTCTTTTAGCACAACTTGTTTTATCTGTCAGTATTTGACAAGCTGTCTGTCCCTGCTGTGCACCTCTCCAGCCAAAGAGGCATTAAGAGGGGCTTTGTCCATCTTACGGATGGAGGTGCTGGGGGGTGAGCGGGGTAGTTGGTGTTGTCGTGGTAGAAGGTGGCTGAAGGTCCACGTCACTACGGGAACGAAACTGTTTAGCCCGAGAGGAGCCACGGCGCCGAGACGAGTGCCGGTCCACGCGTGCACTCTCGCTGCGCCCCACTTTCCTACTGGGAAGGAGTGGAAGAGGATCGAGGGGGGGAGGGAGATGCGTATAAGAAAAGATAGGGGAAGAATAAAGAGGGGAAAGGACAGGTAGGATGAAGAAAAAAAACGAAAGCAGCAGGAAGAGTAAAGAGGAAAACAAACGTGTGGATGGAAGAGACAAAGGGAGGTGTAAGAACGAAAAGCAGAGAATCCAAAAAGAGAGTAGAACATTTTAAGAAGGAAATAAAGAGGAAAAATCAATTATATGCAGAGAGGGAGGACAGAATTTGAGTTAATTGTGTGATTAAAAAGGATGATACAGAACAGGGTGTACACAAAAAAAGTTAAAATATTACATCAATAAAGATAGAGTAAAGGAGAAAATGAGTGATAATTAAATATGCATGGCATGTCATGCATATATTGGTGAGTAATGAAACATAGATTATGTTTCCTACATTGTAGAAATGGCAGCATTTGAATGCCAACCTACAAATGTATGTTAACAAAATAGCCATGCATTGCTGCTACACAATGACCTATACTACGCACAAAAAATTTCCAGTTGAGCGACTCTAGCAGTCCCCACAGCTCTTCAGTTTCACACAACGAGCATACACATCAGCTAAATATAATCCAAGCTGATCTCAACAATCAAGCTCATTCTAATTCCTTCACAATCAGGGTAAAAAATACTTAGCCATGTGTGCGTTATATATCTGCTACAACGTGAGGTGTGGATGCGTGTGAGTGTTGTCTGTTGTGTTTATGTATGCGTGACATGTGATCAGTATAAGGCCTGAAGCATGTCCATGACTCTGTCAAGGCGCTGACACCCACCTTGTCTTCCGTCTGTAAAAACACGGGACACCACATTGTTACACACTTGCTTTTATATACAACTACTGCAAGCTACAGCAACTTTGTAACATGCAAATGCACACCCCCAACATAAGAACCTACACAACTGTTCAAACCGCAGTCAGAGTAGCATGCCAAAAAAACCGACGCCAAAGCCCCCCTGGCACAACATGTAACCGCACATACTGTGGAGACAAGCAGGACAAAGGATGGGTCCTGATCACGACAGACACACACCTTGGAAAGCACATGGCAAGAGCAGCTCAAAATGAACTAAAACACAAAGAACAGACCTAAATGAACTGTTGACTATAAACTAAATAACACAATGTGAAGATTAGCTTCTTTGTCTGAAACCTGGCTGAAGACAAAGTTGCCAATATTCACAACTTTTAGGATTTTAAACAAAGTTCAGACAAAATATGACCATTTTACTGCCAAACCTGTTGCATAAAAACCTGCGGCTCACAATAGGCACAATAAAGCTGGAACAATAACTAATGTGTCAGCTTAGAAGAGACACGGGTCTATTGCCAAAATGTACCTAAAGCCAATAAAACAAACAGGACAGTTAGTACAAACTCTGCCTATAAGCAAAAAAAAACCTGCAACTCTTGTTATAAACAGAAGGAGATGCAAAACAGGTCACACACAAAGTACACAGAACAGACAGAAGGATATCAGGAAGACAGCACATTTGCCATTGTGAGGAAGAAAAAGGAGAAAGGGTATGAGGAGAGGAAATGAGAAGGGCCGGTGGGAAAAACTGGGTCCAAGTTCACCTGGTGAGGGTCTCTTCTCAAAACTGCAGGATCTGTTAGCTTGCGAGCGACGGGCAGCATGACAAAAGCTAGCACACAGCAGGGACAGACCGCTGGGGGAGTTTTACCACGCTCCCTCAGCCTGAGCAACTCAGAGAGCAATTCATTGCACTTCCCCCGTTTTTGTTCCCTGGTTGTTGGCGTTTACACCTACCATATAGTCTAATTATAATCTGATTACAATACCTAATCCTCTATATGCTTAGTACTCTCTCTTGGTGAGTCACTGCACTGCGGTTATTATCTCCCTCCCTTGATAATACTCTGTTTATTACCATCGCCGTGCTTCTCACCTTTCTTTCTCCACAGTCTCGTCTGTGGTTGCGTCGCTAGGTGAGAGGGGCTCCCCGATGGTCAGCCCACCTGGCATCCCGACGGGGGTAACATCGCCCCCGTCTGAGAGTGCTGGGGGCTCTAAACGATTGCTTGAAGGACCTAGAAAATTCAGGAAATCAAAAATTAGCAATTTCATTTGTTGAAAAAGAGTTAACTTGGAGCCTTTATCTAATTTTTAGTGTGTTTTTTTAACAAGAGAAAACAATTAAAATCAGATGTAAGGCTGACATACAACAACATTTCAATGTTTGTATGCCCAAATACATATATACCATGTTTACCAAAGGTGTATTACATCAGCTGAATATATATACTTATGCCATGGACTCTGGAACTATGGAGTTTTTATATGTGTTTAACTGTAAGCAATCAATAAACTAACTGCTTAAAAATAAATTAGTTCATTATTTAAAAGGACATTAAATTGTGAATCTGGAAAAAGTGCATTTTATTGTGTTAATATCAAAGGAAATGAGAGTATGCACAGGGCAGTGACTTGTAAAACAGGAAAAGTCAGGCCACCATGGTGTCTCTTGACATTTTACCTTTTGTTAATGGGTTTATTTAGAGTAGGTGTCTGCCAATCATATTCCACGTCACAAATCATGTGTCTCCACTCCTTCTTTACACAAGTATAGCTTGTATTTTGTTTAGAGGCGCAATAAGATGTGGATTTACTGAAGGCAATGTTGTTCAGTCGGTCCACCACATTAATACAAACTAAAATGTTGGGAAAAAATAAAAACTACTGGATGGACTGCTTTGAAATTTTGTACAGATATTCATGGTCTCTGAAGAATGAATCCAACTCAAATTAATAAGCCCCAGAAGTCGTAAGGGTTTAGATTTTAGTCTTTGTAGGAACAGTGGTAACAACTGCTGAATGGATTTGCCAGAAAACTAGTATAGACATTCATGTGATGAATTCTAACGATTTTGAGGAGTCTTTACTTCTCATCTTTACAATATTTACCAACTAGCTAAGCTATGATGATAAACATCAGCATGTTCATGCCGTCACTGTGACAAAACTAGCATTAGTATTCAGCTTAAACCTGCGTTAGCGTCACATAGCTGCAAAAGCTGCTGTAGATTTGTTTTATTCATCAATGCCAAGACCCGAGTCAATGAGCAAGTTTACCATCAGGGTGTAAAGACTCTGGGCTATTGGTAGTGCTGATGTTGTTGCCTGAGCCGTCACTGATCTCTACTCCAGGCAGTGAGGCAGGGCTTCCACTGGAACCAGCCTTTCTGCTGGGGAGGGCAGGGACCGCGGGGTCAGTCAAGGAACCTCTGCCAGGAGCAGGGCCTTTCCGATCCTGAGTCACTTTCTCCTTTTCGGCTGAAAAGAGGAAAGAGTGTGGCAGTTTTACAAGAGGGGAACTATAAATAACAACAGATGCAGAAAAACACAACCCAAAGCACCTCAGCCAGTTAAAAAAAAGAGACAGAGACTTAATGAGACTGACAAACAGACAAGATGAGTATGGTGCAATCACAGCCTCTGTAGCCAACGAGAGGGTTAGTTTGGTTCAGGGGAACATCTACAATCCTTCAGGTGAGATGAATATGCAACATGTGAAGTTTTCTGGTGATTACAAACTACACACTGCGACAAATTCTGTAAACAACCACCCTGAAACACATAATCAGCTAAACAATGCTCAATCCACATTGATTCGGTACATGCAGACATGCTTGGGGGTTGATTAGTTGGGATGTGACCATTCTACAGATTTACAGGGGTGGGTTGGATGGGGACGGGACGGGAGTCTGAACAGCTAGTACCTTTAGCCTCCGTTTCAGGTTTGACCTCAGCTGTAACAGGAAAGAAGGGCAGGACAAAATGTTCTCATGTCCAGAATATTCATGGATATTCAAATGGAAAAATACTACAAATTCAAATATTAATCTAATACATCATTATAACACATATCAATGTACGTTGAGAGATTGTGACTATTTCAAAATATCATTAAAAATGGTCAGAATTTAAATACACATGCAAAACCGTACATATCTAAATTTGCAAAAACACAAAAGCAGATACACACTGTTGCCTCCAATCCAGCTCGGGATGCCAGGAAACACCCCTCTGGGCTTGGGTTTTGTGGATTCATCCTTCTTATTCTGAAACGATAAAAACCAGGTAGGGAGTTACTTGGAAGGTCAAATTAAAGTCATATATAAAGGACAGTAAAAAAATAAAATTGCTACCACGCAAAGGTTTATTGAAGGCTGTTATATTTTATTGGGCCTTTTAAGGATAAGGAAGTTGTCCTTCTACACAGATGACGGGTGTTTACCTTTACTAGCTTACTCCTGAAGAAGCCGCCTCTCGACTTCTTACTGTCAACTGCCCTGGATTTAACCCCAAGGTGCTTCATGTAGAAGGCCACTGCAGTAAAGATGGATTGGCTGTGGGAGAGACACGTGTGGATTAATATTATTTAACAAGGACGTTCTGTTTTGCTAGATTTCAATAAATAAAACTTGTTTAATTGCCTCGCAAAGCTTGAGCAAAGTATTTTAAAAAAGTGATGCAGCTGTGTCTTTGCATGGTATCTGGTGTTATGGATGTAATGCTGAGAGACTTGCAAAGAATGCAAATGAGACAAGAGCATGGAAACAAAAAAAACAAAAAGGATGGACAGATGCGGTAATGGGAAGAGGGAGGTGGGGAGTTGAAATCATCCAGAGGAGGAGCATGAAGAGGAGGAGCTGAAAAGAGTGAGGAGGAGAGAAAAACGAAGGGCCACAAGGAGACAAAGGAGGAGTCGAGGACCAATAAAAAGAGTTGGGAAAGGGAGGAGACCCTGGGGATGTGCACACAAAAGTGGCTCGCATCACAAGACAGCACAGAGTTTTTAGAAAGCACGCTGTCTGAATGCAACGAGATAAAAAAGTTGAACTGCAGAGCACTTAAAATCTTGGGAGTAAAAAGCCTACAGGACTTCCATGACCAGATTTAATCATTTAATTTAGTCAAATTTATGCACGAAAGATTTGTTTTTAAAAAAACAACAACAACAAAAAAACACAAAACAAGAATTTAGAATGCAACACATGCGTATAGTGGCAGTTCTTCAAAAAGAATATATATATTTAGTTAAGGGCATTTTCTCTCTACATAATTTAATGTGCATTTGCTGCACTGGAGCAGTATGTAAAATCTTGTGGAGTGACCACACCCAGGTAGAGAGAAAGCATGCACAGATCAAATCCACTGCATGTGCACAAGCAACTACACGAAAACACTTTAAACTTCATAAAAAGACTTACCATTTCTCGTCATCCGCGACAATTGTAGGTCTGAAAGAAAAGAGACAGGTGTCAGTCATGTTCCTGCCACAGAGGTGAGAAACAGCGTTACTACTGGTGCAACATCAAACTCACCTCTTTCTTTTAAGTAACATTCTTCCTTTCTCTTGCTCGACTGATTATTAACTCTGTTTTGGGCCGGTGGAATCTGAAGTGATTAAGCTTTTCTTGATCCAACTCAAAACTGACGATTGTGTTTTTGTGTTCAGAGCTGAAGCTATTGATCATATTCTAAAATGTCCAAAAAAAAAAAAAGGTGAAAAAAAAAAACCTAACCAAAAAAAAAAAGATCAAAAACTTGCAAGATGCATCAAAAGCTTCACGTCCTACTGCTATGACAATTTAGAACTCAACTTGCACTCTTCAAGATCGAGGAATAAGTCAAACTACTGTCTCCAGATGTCTAAAACAATCTGCTTCGGTTTGTCTCTCCGCACTCTGCAACAGGAATCCCAAGTCAAATGCTCCAGCACAGCGGAAATATCTATTTAACTATGTTTTTGTCTGATGCAACATGCAGGCAAGACTGTGGAAATTGGATACTGAGATGAACATAAAGGGTGGGAGGGGTTTCCCCGGGATTTCCCTGCATAATCCAATGAAATGGTCCGGCTGCCCTGTTTTCATCACGGACAGACCAATGAGAAACAGAAGGGGGCAAGGTCACTGTGTTGTGGTTAAGTGAGAAGGGAAGTGTGTGTGTGTGTGTGTTGAGGGGTGACCGAGTGCAAGAGCGAGAGTGGTCGTGAGAGTAAGAGGAATAGAGAGATAATTGTCAGGAGAAATGAATGGAGTGAAGCTGAATGAGTCATTTGTGCAATGGAAATAGAGATCCGACTGTGTGATAGTAAGCGAGTGTGTCAAAAGCGGAATTATCATGTCTTTGATGCGGACTGCTTTGCAGGCTTTTTGTGTCTCTTCCACTGACATTGTGGTTACATCAACAGGATGAGTGCCGCTTGTGCACAGTGCATCTTCTTTTATTTCTGCTGTTCATTTTTTCCTCTCTCTCCTGACAAGATGAAGTTAGACAGTCTTCTGCCCTCTCCCTGGCCTCCTTTCCCTCTCTGTCTGACTCGCTTCTTGTAGAGGATAACACATTGTAGTTGGCCACGGGGTCAAGGATAGATTAACTTTCCCCTAGATCTCATGCTTTCTTTCTTTAACCATGGTCCAAGGCAGGAGCTATCCAGCATCGATAACCCTCTGGCCCTTTCTCTCCCCTTTTCTTTTCCGCTGTATTGCCCCCCCACCCCCCCTAGTTGGCAAAATGCCAGTGGAAAGCCTTCCTGCCAGCGTGGCACAGCAGACTCCATCTTTTCTTCTCTGCCTCCTCATTTTCTTCTTGCTATGCTGTGTTTTGTTTCAATCACAGCTTTTCTCTCCAGCTCTCTAGTCCAGTGAGCTTCTGTATCGCTTTCTGTGCTCCGTGGTGAACAGGACATTTGGAAAGACTGCATTGTTTTAAAGAAAAGTGAAGCAACAACATAAGCAAAAACAGAATCTCAAAAATCTGCTTTGCCCCCATATCTGACAGACAAGGCTTCTTCTTCCTGGGTAAAGCAGCAAGTAACTAAGAGGAGACTGAAATAACTTTGCCACTGTCCAGTAACTATGTAAAGATTTTCTGTTAATCATACCTTCACAACTCTTTAATTGTTCTTTTTAAGTGTGAAATTTGCACTTTGATGTTGTAGAATTTAATACTGGTCACTATTCCTCATACAAAAACACACACTTGGCCTCTTTTCCTTACATGTTTTGTGAACATACACGGGTTGGTACACCTTTCAGCTTTTCCATTATTGCAACGTGTCAGTCATTTGCTCTTTTTTTTTTATTATTCATCATTCAAGAAAGATCTGAATGGCTACACAGGCATGTACAGTCGTCCTCAAATGTATTCATAACCTTCCATTAAAGAAAAGGCACAATTCACAATAGTCACTCAAATAACTAGAAACTGAAAAAAGTAATAATAATGAAAAATTAGCTAAATTATAATTTAGTGAAATAAGACATTGCTTTTGAATTGTGGTTGAAAAGAATAATTAAAAAAATAATAATAATTAGAGCACTTTGCTGATGAGCAGTGGGCCAAAATCCAAACACTTGTCAACAGGTGCAGAAGTCTGACTGAGAGTTACAGAAAACACTTGATTGCAGTGATTGGCTCAAAGAGTTGTTCAACAAAATATTAGTTTGCAGGTCCCTTCATGCTTGTTTTTTTTTTTCAGTTGTTTTTTTTTTTTTAAGATTTCTGTTGAACCACAATTCAAAAGCAAGGCCATGATTTTCATTATACTTGTATTTTTTATTACTTCTGTCAATTTCAACCTATTTCAGTGACAGCTGGTTTTTTCCTTCTTTAATGAGAGGCTATGAATAAATTTAAAGAGGATGACTGTACATGTCTAAGCAGAAAAGAACCTGACTTTCACCTTGGGAAAGCTGAATGCCCAGAATAATTCCAGATAAGCACGACACAAACACTCACTGTGTCTCGGACATCTTCTCCAGCAGGTTCTCAGCCACAGACTTTTCCTTCATTTCCATTGGGACGCGGTCGGTGGGATAGTGGTTCTCCACATCAATTAGCTCAGCCTCATTGGGGGTCATACCCATCCTCCTCTTTTGCCTGTGCGGGACAAAACAAGAGGAGGTAGGAGATTGGAGAAAAAAGTTCATTTAAAAAAAAAAAAAACACTCAAAGCAGGATAGTTATGGTATGTAGCTCTGTTTTCCCAGTTCTGTGAAGGGGCCCCTGATGTTAGACACATAAAAATGTAGTGAATGTGTGGTTATTCCAAGGCCACTGTTAAATAGCTAGCCTTTAAATTCAAGCAACAACTGATCTGATATGATAATATCCATGAAGTCAGTGTATTTCTATTGTCTTCTGAAGCTCACACATATACAGACAGATGTGGACACCACAGATGTGTAGTTGTTGCTGGTATACTACTTCCTGTTGCGCTTGGAGGACTGCATTTCACAGTAGGCTGGCATGTACCTATTCGGCATGTGAACACTAATACCGAACATGTGCACTGGTGCGCTTGCAGGCCAGTAGACACTCTGCAAGGGCAGCAGTCAAGTAAACACAAATTTTGGGCTGCACACGGACGGACGTGGAGGAGTCTGTGTGGACTCGTGCAGTCTGGGGCAGGAGGTGAAAATTATATCCCGTGGACCCAAGCATATCACGGTGTGATTTTACTTTTTACTTGCCTCTCAGATCAGAGTGTTTTCACTGCAGCTAAATCTGAGGCAGCGCTTCTGATAGTTTTTTTGTTCGGGGTAAAGAACACAGCTAAGTATCAGGGATTTTAAGGATAAAGCACTATTGAAAAATAAAATTGGAAAGAGAGGGATCAGGATGACCTTTCCAATGCCATTCACCCTAAAATCCTTCCAGGAAATACAGATGAATAATGAATAATACAATGAAATATAAATATATATTGGCTTTAATAAAATAAAATATGATAGAACATAGTTATATATATTACACGTTATACATACAATGTATATAGGGGACAATAAATATAAACCATATCACAAGTATGTAATGACTTCAACAGCAAGGAAGAGGAAGTAAGGTCTGTATGCAACATGCAGGGTAGTTAGATTTTACCAGATGGTCTAAATCTACAGTGAACAGGTTATTTTAGGAGCTGCTGATTCTTGTCATGTGTTGGATGAAAATCTACTAACACACATATTTAAGTTAACTCTGCCTGTTCATGTCAGGATTAGAGAACAACTGTTATGGTCATGAGTCAGCCTTATGCATCAACATTTATTAGTGGCATTCTTTGGGATAAATTACACATAAAAGCACATTTCTCATCTGTTTCTTGAAAGTGTTTGTTTATCATGCTGAATAAAATCAAAGGAGACCAATCTAAAAACTAATCAATGACTTTGCTAAATGGTCTGAAGTAATGTTAATTCATGACACGTTGTAGTTGGTGACTCAGTCCATGCCAAATAATTGATATGATCATTTAAAGTGACCAAGTGTCAAGAAAACTTATTGCACTTTGTACTCTGATTTTCCGGTTTTCTCTTAACCACAACGGAAAACCAAAAATGTGATTTTCACACTGATTAAAGGTGAATGCTTGTTAGTAAACTGACTGGTTGGTTTGACTGAACATTTCTGAAACCTCCAAAACAATCACAAGAAGGAGTTTCTCTTGTTCATTCTGAGAAACATGAAACAACCTCGTCACATCTCTTTAGGTTAATGTACAGTGTGTAATCTACACTGTAGAAAACTTAATGAGTTGAGGTAGAAGGTCCTTCAACACATCAGTCATTGGTCCCAATAATCACAAAAGTCGGTGTTGTGATAATGCCGTGGGATGTTTATTGTCCATCCATCCATTATCTATACACCTCTTAATCCTCACTAGGGTAGCGGAGGGCTGGAGTCTATCCTAGCTGACTCAGGGTGAAGGCAGGGGACACCCTGGACAGGTCACCAGTCTATCACAGGGCTGCACTTAGAGACAGACAACCAAGCACACTCACATTCACACCTACGGACAATTTAGAATCACCAATTAACCTCAACATGTTTTTGGACCTTGTGGGAGGAAGCCAGAGAACCCGGAGAGAACCCATGCTACGCAAACTGAACATGCAAACTCCACGTAGAAAGATCCCGGGGGTCCCGAGGCAACGATGCTAGCCATCGAACCACCTTGCAGCCCTTGTTTATTGTGGATTTGCAAATTAAATACTACAGCACTGGTATAATCAAGACTGCACTATGCTGTTTAAGTAGCGCTGAGAATGGATTAATCTCACCTGAAATCCTCCAACTGTTTTGCCACCTCAGCAGTCTGCAGGTGTTGAACCTCCTGAGCATAACGCTTCTGGTTGTCTTCTGAGAGTAGCTCTGGACGGATCCGGTCTTAGAGAGGAGAAATAAAGAGTGAGTGAAAAGTCCAAAAATAGAGAAGGATACACTGAGCAGGATTGAGGTTTTTATACGTGGCAAAGAATATGTAATGACTTGACTTTTAATCTAAACACCACTGGAAAATAACTTACCCAATTCATATGTTATATTAGCCGGTACTGTCACTCTGAGAATCTGCAATGCAAAGCAGATGACAAAACACGTACAATGAGAGAAATAAAAATAATATGGAGATATTGCTATTAAACTGTTTATTTAAAAAGGGACCATGCACAAGATTAAACATAAATGTTGCCATTTGCTGTTTTGCACCAGAGTTAGCTTTAAGCTAATTTCCATCTGCAGTCTCTTGGCAGGTCACAATGAAAACATCCAATATTAAAATGTCACAAAAAAAAAACCTGGACTATAAAATACATGACACAGTGAAACACAACATTACACACACACACACTCTTAAAAGCACATACGGACACACACTCACACAAATTAAAATTAAAAAGACTTTCATGGTTGCACTTCTTAAGCAAGTTTTTCAGTTTGTTTTTAAAGCTGCCGATAGAAACACAGCTCTTAATGTCATCACACAGGGCGTTCCACTGAGTCGTAGCGTATATATGGACATATGGAGAGAAAAGAAATAACCTCACTAAGGTTATTCTTCTGTAAAACAAGATCTTTGTTTTGAGTGGCCCTGAGAAAAAAAACAGAGTGCTGCACCAGCTATATATCACCACAAGAGGTCATTTTAACACTAGAAATTAGAAGGAGAAGAAAAAAACAGAAGGATGAAACATATTCCAAATGGGAAATACAACGTCTGTCACTGACGTGAGCATGACCACATGGGCCAACGTTAGGTCAATAAGTTCAGCAGAGGCTGGGGTTTAAAAAAAGAAAAACCGAGAGAAGAAGATTCCTCCTAAAGAGCATTCCCATGATCCTGACAGGAAGCTGTGAGGTTTGACAGACGGACGGACAGAAAGACGGACAGATGGGCAGACTGAGCTGCGTGAACCAGCTGAGTTGACAGACATGTACACTGCGTGAGCTCTGAGGGGGAAATGCAACAGTGAGGTGATGAGGGCCAGGTGTGTCGGGAAGAGTGATGTAAAGAGATACTGAGCTGCAGCACAGACAGAGCAAACACAACTTGCAAACAAACCATGTGCACACAATACACTCCTCTCTCATGAGTCCAGCTTATAGACTACAGCTGAGCAGCACATTAAATCCCTATTGATACAAAACCATGAGAAGGCTGCTTCGTCTTTCTAACTTCTTTTTTTTTTTTTTAATACAACCTAACGGAGAGCCTAAATGGAGATAGAGCCATAAAAACTGTGATTATAGCACTAGTGGAAGTATTTCAAACTACAAAGCAATGCAAACACAACTTTCATCACTCAAGTCAAATCACTTCTGCATCAGCTAAAGCAAACACAATCATGTAAAGGGTCCAGACAGTGCAGCAAGAAAAACGAGCTGTCCCCTTTCTGCAGGCATTAAAAACAAAACACAGAGCAGATAGAACCTTAGTGCACACATTGAAAAATGAAAATGGAATGATATTTCAAAGTTCACCAGACTGGATACAATGCGTAACAGAATACTGTGTGTGTACCTTAATCATTTTGACATCCTTCCTTCTACACCTGCCACTGCGAGGATTGTTTGAATGTACTTGCACTAATTATTGGTTTTTATTGCCAACACAGTTATTTTTATTTTCTCTGAAGTTTAGAATCAATGTAATGTGTCAGCCTTTATCCCTGTGTCACGTTTATGACAAGCAGGTAGCTTCTTAACTTCCATTTTAAGTCGATTTGCATCTTCTTGTATTTCTTTTCTTTTCTTTTTTTAAGATTATTTTTCTGGCCTTTTTGCCTTTATTAGATGGGACGGTGATTGAGTGAGACAGAATAGGGGGGAGGACCTGCAGCAAACTGTCGTGAGCGGGAATCGATCTCACGACCACTGCGTTGGGGAACTACAGCCCGTGTTCATGGGTCGACCGCTCAACCAGGTGAGCTCTCGGGTGCCTATCTCCTTGTATTTCATACTCCAAAATATAGGATGATTACTTACAGCACCCTTGTCCAAGAAGGTATTGTTGAACTCCACAAACTGTTTCTTGGTCTCTTTGGCACTGAGGCTCTTGAAGAGGTCAGCATGGAGGTAACACAGCTGAGAGAGAAGAGGAAGAAGACAGGATATTAGGAAATTTCAGTAGCCTTTAGTGTGACACTGTGTTGCATTGCAGGGTTTCTATATCTTTGTTTTTTGCACACAATTAACAGATTATTACTAACTAACTAACTATCATCACTGCTAAAAGTAAAACACTCAAATTGTATACCGGCATGCCACATATTATAAAATGTCTGTGTACACTTAAAAGTCAATCCACAAACCACAGAGACGAACTGAATATTCCAAACCTAATGGCAATATCTCCTACAACAATAGCCACAGTCAAAAAACAATCATAACACTGTGAAGCTGTGGAAACACACCAAAGCAAAAGCAGCCACTGACCCAAACCACAGATGCAGATTGTTAAAAACCCTGCAGGATAATATGTGTGTTTGTAAACATGCTACACGACTGATGGTGTGGAAAATGTGAGGAAAAACAGGGAGTGTGTTACAAAGGGAGGGCGCTGTGGCTGTAACAGTACCTGGGTGGGTCACAGTGTCTGCATGCAGAATAAAGGGGACAGGACAACAGGCGTGCTTTAGGACACCACTGACACATACGTAGCCATGCGCGCACACAAATCAGCATAAGCCTCTGAAAACACTTTCAATCTACACTACTACGCACTGGATTCTGTAAATGTGGTTTCACACAAGCTGAGGTGGCGTAAACAGTCTTACCACGATTTGGATTAAATCATACGTAACAGGTGCAATAACTGGCTTTTTTATGTGTAAAGCGGCTTATCGTTATCATTAAATCTGTAAACTGTCTGTGAGTAAGCCTTTGTTTTGAGGACGCTGTGATGATTTCGTTATCTCAAAGCTAGTTGTTTCCAGGCAATAGCTTTTTTTCTTCATGCTGTTTCTTTAGAACCAGTCTAACTGGTCATTTTGCAAACTCGTGTGAACTGTGTTGACACGTGGAGCTGCTATTTCTTTACATCTCAGGTTGTGAATAAAATATTATCATAGCACATATTAATGGTGGCCAGAAAGCAAGGACACAGAAGACATTAATAACAACAAAGGGAACGCTACTTCAAGGGTAACAGAACGTTCTTTTCATGCCAAAATTGGAAGAATTGGAAGAATATTCTGCCAAAATCATACAGTTGAGATCCCTATCCTAAGAAAATATTCAACAGATTATTGATTAATAGACAGTGAATATAACAGTTAGTTGCGACCCCTTTCTCTGTCCTCTCATTCCTGTCTGTATCTGTATATTTTAAAAAAAACAAAAACACATTTCTCTTTATAAAAAGATATTAAACAATATTACACAATATGCCTACAACCAATATTTATTACTGTTACCAAATGATTTTGCAACAATCTTCTGTGGTATGAAAGAAAAACTACACAGCAAATAATCACACCTGCGATGTTTGGTGTTTCTATCTGAGGGGTATATCTGAATAATTACTATCAAAATTCCCATCGATTCATTTCTTGTAAACTGCCTAATTGAACAACACTCAACCAATTTATTCTGGGAGCTGTTTCAGCAACGGTATATAAATACACACACTGCAAAACTGTATCTACACAGACTTGAGAGCAACCTAGAAGCTTAAAATGACCGTCAAGCCCACACTTACACGAATGACTTGCAAGTAAGAGCAAGACGCAAGCCATTACAGGGCCTGTAAAGATGTCCGTATTGATTAAAACAAATGCATATCTGTTCTGTCAGACGTGTAGGAGAACTGCGGAGGCTGAAACACATCCTGTGCAGACAGAACGTTGCATTACAAGCGTTGCAGTTCCTACCAGGGGAGCAGGGTCAAACTGTAGAATGACATGTTGCATGAAGACCAGCAGGTGGGTCGGCCGCTCCTTCAACACCTCGATGTTGTTGAAGTGCGTGCACTGGTCATCTGTCGCCTGAGTCGGATAAAGAAACACAAAGAGGCAAGTGTAAACAGAGAAACAAATCAAGGAGGCAATGATGGCGGTAGATTCAGCTGTCACATGTCACTCACATCATTCAGATCATTCTCAAAGTCTTCATCCTCAGCCCCGATGATGCTCATAGCTGGGTTAGAGCAGTGAGCACCAAACGCACCCTGCTGTGGAGAAAGAGACAGAGACAGAGAGGGGGGAAAAGAAAAAAAAAACAAGACAATTAGCAACCATTATGTGCTATACTTTGAACTGGTAGGCCATGTCTTTGACATCCTGAGCCCCCACTGAGCAGAGCCAGACATAAAGCCAGATCAGAGTTTGGACACAGTGAACTTTCCCAGTGAAAAATAACATCATGCAGAAAGATGGGAAATATCCCAGCTTCCAATCCAGCCTCCCGGAGAGAGGGAGAGACAAGCCCGATGTGTCATAAAGCTTGTGGTCCTTGAATTACAAAGAGCTCTAGTTTAAGTAGCATGGCATTCCTATTAAATAAAGCGAGGCAAAGAGACGTAAGGGATCGGCTTTCACAGAGAACTAACGATGTGAACAATGATACTCACTGAAGATTTTTGTTTTAAAATAAATCGTAAGTCTTCTGGGAATCAGACATTGATAATGAATCAACATTAAGCAAAGGTTAAAAGTTTTAAACCAAATACTTTGGAGTATTTTAACAAGATGGGGGTGTTCTGTGAAATGCTAAAATCCTTTTCCCCTAGGCGACACTGAAACATTTAGGTTATAAGCTGAACTCAGGGGAATAATTCAGTGTTTAACTTGCATTGCAAAACAGCATTTTCAAATTTGACCCGTCTGTGAAGTTTGGCCGTATTTTGCCTCTGGGACTGTTTCTCAGACGTGTATTGGTTTCGGTTAACCGCTCAGCGAAAGGCTCTCCTTCTGAATGCCATGACATAAAACGCTCCAGGTCTAAAAAATGCAGCTAATCTGAAATTACAGGTTTTTGCCAACTCTTGCCTTAGAAATCCATGAATGGGGAAAAAATGCATCAGAGCGGGTGATGAATTTACCCCCACCCCTTACAAACCCACACCATTTCCTCTTCCCCAAAACACACAAACAACACATAGTCCTTGTATTCAGTCCACTAAAGGCCACAGACCCAGAGCCGCCACCAGGGAACACCCAAATGCACACACAAACACACATCAAAAAGCTGCAACACACACAGCTAGGTGAGCACAGGGAGTTTATGTAGAGCCTAAGAGGTGTGAGTACGAATCAAAGCAATGAGGGGAAAATATAAAACTAAAACTGTAGAAGAAACTGATCTGAATATTCTGAAGATTTCATCAAACGTATCGTAAAGACTTTTGATAATTCTGGTGTACGAATTCACACGTTCAGGTTCCACACTCGTTTAGCGCTATGGTCCCTGAAGATCATCATTTACTGAAGGGCTGGGCAAATGATGATTAAACCGCAACTTGAGATCCTCCAGCAGAAGCCTCTCGCTGCAGCTATCCCAGAGTCCAGACTCACGACAAGTCTTTTCTGTCCAGTTTCGGGACACAGAGCGAGTGAGAGGGAAGCTGGGAGACTGACAGAGAGCGAGAGAATGTGTTCATTCATGGCCACATCCAGTGGGCTGCAGGTTGAGAAAGGCCAGTGTTGGAGCAACATGCGTAGGAGGGGTTAGCTAAACAGAGAGACACAGGCTCGTCAGGGCCACAACATACACAAACATAACGGAGCGCACAGAGACACGCCTCCTCTTTTCCACACACACACACACAAACCCAGCCACCGACACCTTACCGAAACGAAACCGCCGCTTCACCAAGACAATGACAAAGTTGTTATGTCGCCATGGCAGCAACTGACCGATGCTGCCAAAACCAATATCCTGGTGGAAAGATAAAATGCTCTCATTCTTACTTCAACCATTTTCCTACACGTGTTAAAGGTTTAATGTTAGGTGCTTTGGTTTTTTTGTTTGTTTTTTTTTAACTGGGAAAAACACAGAAATCCTGCATAGTGTGATTCATTTGTAGATGTTCACAAAGAAAGATGAGATTTATTTGAGTTTGTAGTCAGATCTACTTTGTAAACCCAGTTTCATCTCTGACCTTAAGTCTGCTCAAGTTCCCTTAACAGGACTTTAGAATCTATACAGCTAAATGCTCCTTCTGGTTCCAGACCATTAATTCAGACAAGAACCTAATTCTTCTATCTACTACTTATCATTCTGCATGTGCTATTTTCTCCATATTCTTCATGAATCTAAATATCACATCATGGCTGCAACTAGCAATTATTTCCTTCAACAATTAATCTGCAATTATCTTCCTGATTAACCTATGAACATTTAAAAACCCTAAACAGCATCCTGAGCACAAGACAATGTTGGTAAATGTCTTATGTTATGTGGCCAGCTTTCTAAATACTTCATTTATGCATTTTTAAAAACTAAATCCATAAAAAAGTAGCAAATTCTCTAAGTTTGGATACTTAAAAAATGACTTATAATAATAATAATACTATCTAGAAAATATATGTGACTAAATCATATTGATGAATAAATCAGTTGGCTAATTGCGACAGTGAAGGATTTCTGTGTTCTTCCCAGGTAACTGTCACACTTTTATTATGATGCAAAAGCCTAACAAGTCTTTTAAACTTTCAGGAAAGTGAACTGCTGCTACAATGCAGCACTTCAGTCCCGTCATTACAGGTATTGCTGTAGCCAATCCTCTGTTTTTGTTATGTCTTGGTTGATTTCGAAGTAACCGCAACACCTGATCATTCTCAGAGAGGTAAGCTGAGGTAGGCGGGGAGGGGGGGAAAGCTAACTGCGGTTTCTCAGAGTGGAAGTAGGGAAGGTCATTTCCACTCTGGATTTAAAGAGCACAGGGCTGCAGAAGGGCAGGAGTGGGAGTCTCCTCTATCCAGAAGGAGCCAAGTGGTGCATTCCAGCATATGGCACAGTTCAGACAACAGATGGAGACAGTCTGAGTTTCAACAGTAACCAGACCCTCTTCTCCTCCTCACCTCCATTATATGAAAGCTGGCATCAGCTCTCCACTGCGAGGGTCTTTAATGGCTGATACAAGCGTGGCCGAGAGAGAGGGGGGGGGGATAGAGAAGACCACGAGTGTACAGTGTATGAACAGAGCGTCCCAGAAGTGCGGAGATGCGGCTCTGGTGCTCCTGAAAGTCAGCAGCTGCCCCCCTCCCACCAACCCTCCCTCCCATCACATTCCAGTACTAACTAAGTGTCAGGTGGCATCAATCTAATGATAGCCATCAAGCGTACGTGCCTTTGTGTGTGTGTGTGTGTGTGTGTGAGTTAAGACTGAGCACGTATGTGGGAGGGGGCCATTCCTATGTGATTGTAGGGAAGCTGCCGGTGTACTTCTGTGTGTTCAATGACAACTGGCCTTTACAGGAGCATTCCTCTCCACCTCTGACCGGGCCGAGGCCTAATACTGTACATGAGCAATCAAAAAAGCAGCACCTGCTCATTAGTTAAGCGAAGTAGCGGCACGCTTCAGCATTTCATATTTCCACCAGGTCACCAAGGTTACAGCTAATAATAACTTGAGCATTTGTTACATCAGCTCTTATGCAAAGCCCACGTCCGTTGTGAAACCGTTTGAACAATCAGCTGGTTTTACTGAAAACCCCTCTGACCAGGAAGAGAGGAGGAGTCAAACTGTGACCTCACCCCAAAGTGGGCATCTTCAGCATCCATAGCGAAAACCAGTGGGGGCCACACCTGTCAATCAAGTTCCTGCAATCACATGATGGTGATTATCAGAAAGAAGTGTGTTGAGTTGAATGGACCAGGACCGGGACGAGGTCAAATAGCAGTGTAATACCACAGTCAGCACAGCATGTAATGAGGACAGATAAGCAGGGAACTTTTTCTTTTTTTTTTCTTAGGTTCATCTGCTTTGAGTATTCATCCAGCATTTTGGTGCACACAAAGAATGTCCACAGCACAGACATTTATCTGATTGGCTAGAACATTAAAACCACTGACTGGTGGGGGGAAAATGTCCCAGAAGGCAAAGGAGGACACCTTGAAAGTTCCACGTCCTGATAGGTCAGAGCTGTTCTGGTGCCACAAAGGGCATCTGCACAATGTTAGACAGGCACTTTTAATGTTGTGGCAGATCAGTGAGTAACTCCAATGATAAAATGTATATATCAGAAGTTATAAAGAGGACGGATAAATATATTTTGAAGAGTAGAGACGTGTTTTCAAAGATAGAAAAATGTGATTTGAATAATATTTTCATAGTTTAAGAAACTTAAAACTACCTTTACAGCTTCATGCTCATTGAAAAATCCAAAATCTGTGAATACGCAAATATTTTTTAATTTAATGTTTAACTGCTGGACTCCTACTGCTCCTGAAACGTTCAGTCTCAGTGAAAGTGCACCAGAGGGTTCCAGTTTTCAAATCACACTTGAGTAAGTTGCATATTGAACCATGACTGGCTTCCAAACTCATTAAGCCACAAGATCCTGTTTTATATTCACACGTTAAAGTCAGATTTAATGTGAGTTCTTTCCCTCTTCAGCAGACGAAAGCAAAAACAGCCTTCTAGTGTCAAACTCTGCACATAAATCATACTGCACAGGGAACGTCAAACATCCCAGAGATGTAACAATAAACACAACACATTTGTGACACAAGGAGAAGATTAAGATTTCCCACACTCGTGTGTACTAACCAGCAGTGGTTAAAACCTTTACCCTCTGCGGTGTGACCCAGTATATTCACGTGGTTGTATGTAAATGCAACTCATGTCTGACCACACCCAAACACACCTATCAGTGAATCAGTAGTGGCGACACAAGCTTTGAACTTTAAACCAGAGAGGGTGGTAGAACTCATCTGGTGTTTGACACCCAGGAGGGAAGCGATTATTTTAGACTAGGTGTAGAATTTCAGAACTTGTGATTGTGTGGCCTCCTAGTGGCAGTAAGGCGGTCTGGAAGGCAGGGACGCTTTCAGGGATTCCACATGCTGAGACGACATTGGTTTGTTTGTTAGAACAACAGTGACTACCATATATTGATTTTCTACTTTTTTATTATTTAAAACAGGTAAAATCTTTATAGAGTTGCACGCAGCCCACCGCTAAGCTGAGCCCCTACTCTCGCTTTATTCTCACAATGACAACGAACCTGTCTGTGAACAGCTCCTTCGCTGTGTGCACAATTAGCGCAAATCAAAACTCGATGTTAGGAGTGATCGTTGCTGGCTTTTCCCTGCAGAGAAGACAGCTGGCTTAATTCCTTAACAGAATCTAGGGGGTTCACAAATGGTTGGTATCATGAACAGCTCTGCACCAATCTGCTCAAAAGCAATGCAGTCAAGTCCTTCTAATGAGTCAGTCCATCTATGTTCTTAACCCACAATGTCAATCAGGGAGACCAACTGGTTCATATAAGTTATTTGCAAGCATATAAGGAGCCTTCCAGTACACTACAAGTTATTGCTAGATTACAGCTGGGTTGTTGAGGTTAGCATCCTTTTCATAGATGCTAGTAAATATCAGCTGCTTGTATACGTGAATATTATTCATTCTTTAACTCTGAAGCTGAATGTTTGCTCTTGAAATAATGGAGGTGTTTGTCTTTCCCAAACTAGCAGCCGACGACACTGAAAATGTCAAGTTTTGCCAAGAATGTGGATCTTCTGCAAAACCGTAGTAATAAAGCTATAGTTACTACATGAGTCTATGATGCTGATTTGTTCATCCTTCTTGATTAGATTATCTGAACTTGATTTCAGTGGAAAGGATTCAAACTGCACAATGTTGTGTCAGAGGTAAAGCAATTGTGAAGGTTAATCTGCTGTTGATCAGATGTATGCAGGTGAATGACAAAACAGATAAAATCTCTGTAAGGAAACTACTGAAAACGCTAAGATTAGAATCCTTTGCAATTACTGGGTGCACCTGGCCACAGCGTCCATTGTCTACGCATAGGTCACTGTTGTCTCCTTACACTTGCTCACAATAGGCTGTGTCCTGTCCTCTATATGCTATGAGGGCAGCGTCCAAAAATAGCTGAGCAGCTAATGGCTATAGCTTGCTGTGTTTGTGCCGCTGTTTATCTGGCTCGCTCATCAGGCCACAGTCTCATTAGGAGGGACTGGGGGATTCTTACCGACACCACTGCTCCTCTGCTCCTTCAGCGGCTGCTCCCTGAGCAAAGATAAGGAGAAAGAAAACTGGGGAAGGTGGCAAATGGGGAGGCATACAGACAGGAAGTGGGTGTAATTTCCTCAGGAAGCTATCAGAACCATTTCCTGTATGACCTATCAGATCAGAAAGAAGAGAAAGAGAGCAAGACAGACAGAAGGAGACGAGAAAGAGAGAAAATTAAAAAAAAAAAAAAAAAAAAAAGGAACCCACAAGTGCTTCCGTAAGAAACCTGACAGACAAAACTGCATCAAATGAACCTCCTGTGCCACTGAGCTTCAAGGTCACATGGTAGCCAGAGAAGGAAGCTACCGCACGGCGTGAACGAAACTGACAAATGAGGAAGAGAGCTCACGAAAGAATGAGTGTGACTAGAGGAGGATGGCCTCATAGGTCAAGGTTTGGGGCCACATTTTGCATTTTTGGATGCCTCACGGATTATAAGTTCACCAAAACAACTGTTGCAACAACAAATTTTTTAAAAAATAATGAAAACCTAATTTAAACAAAATGCACAAACAGAATTATTTTTTCTTGTCGTAACAAAACAAACAGCCATATCTTATTTTTGCCAACTTAGACCGCCATAAAATAAATCTCTAGTTCTTCTAATACTTTTAAGCCTCACTGCGCCTGCAAGAACTATCCTATAATAACTCTATAGAAAGAGAAAATAAAAGCAATGGGGCTAGTGAGGAGGCATGTGGTGGAGGAGATGGAGTGTGGTGTGGAAAATAAATTAAAAGAAGGGACACAGTGCAACGGGGGAAAAAGAACAAGGCAGCAACAGTGGCAAGACAAAAAAAAAACAAGCAGTGGAAGCATATGTTGGACACCAGTGAGCAAATAAATACTCTGTTGGAGCACACACCCACACCTGAAAGCTTACAAACTAAAGATCTGATTCAGCATTGCATTCTTCCAGCCTTGACCAAATGATTTTGGCTGCAGCTGGCAGAGTTGCCAGCATTTCAGTGTAAAGACACCCGAAGGCCTCTTTGACTATAGAGCATGTGGGGTGTGTGCACGTCTTTATATTTAACATGGAGGCTGTTATTGCTAAGAAGTGGTTATATAACTGGTGTACATGTGTACAAAAACGCATGCACAGAATGGGTGTGTGACTAATTAGTGCAGGGTGACAGAAGGGTTTGAGCAGGACAGGTGTGAGGTGTAAATCAATGTTTTAAAGTCAGTGTGAGCTGAGTGTTCCCAAACTCAAAAGATATGATTGAAAAAACTAGAAGTAAAGGTCCTTGAAAATCAATACTAAGTGGCTGTGAGTGATTACATTTATCCTATAATGAAGCACTTCTATGAGGTGGCCTCTTTCAGGATGCCGCCATCCACAGGGCACAGAGGGTCCCTGAATGGTTTATTGATAATGTGAATCATAAGCTATGACATTTTACAGTTGCCAAGTCTCAACCCAGTTAAATGGGAAAGTTTAGACCGACGTGTTTGACGACTTTCAACCACCATCAACGAAACACAAAATACGGGAATATCTTTTGGAAAATTTTCATCCAATCGCTGGAGTTCCAAACACCTAAACAACGCCAAGGCCCGTTGATGCTCTTGTACTTGGCGGCCCAATACTATATCAAGACACCTTGTGTTGGTTTTTCCTTCGATGCGTCACCCATCTGTAGTTGCTGGGCAGATTAGAAGAAAACTCTACGGGCTAAGTAAAAACGAGTAGTTACGTTTGTCCTCTTGCCAATATTACAAAACTTGCTTGTCATGACATCTCAGGCAGACAAACACTTCCTGTCCAACTCTGCACTGATGTCTTCAAGAAACCAACAATAGTGATGGTACCCTTGTCATCTTGAGCTGGGTGCAAGATGTTTGCCATGTATAGAGGCTCTAAAGAACGACACCATGGAGGTGCATTATGGGATGTGGAATCCAGTGTTCTGTCATACTTCTCAACATCTACTGCTTCAATACTGACAATTTCCCATAAAACAATCTCTCAGAAACCCTTAAACACCATTGGTGGATCAACCCTTTCATAGGTGCATTACTCCTGAACAGATAAGGCCACCAGACAACAAAAGCGTCTTAAATTATTCTATAAACACCGACTTGATTGAAGGTTGTACTCTTATCAATTCACAGAGATAAGAAACTTCCCGATAACGGGGGCGTACTGTAACTGTCTGCGTGTTAGTTCAGTGAGATAAAAGGGCAACAGAACAGCAGTCTGAACATTACAGGGGACAGAGTTATCCCAGAAATCTTGTCGTTGCGCAGACAGTAAGCAAACAAGGCCGGAGAGGGTGCATTGCGAGACACTGAGACGGTCTTGCTCAGCAGAGTTGCACGGACGGGGGAAGTGACATCAGCGTATGTGTGAACGAGGGAGTGGCTCATCTGGGCAGAATGTATTAAAAAACATGCCCTTTCAGTCATATTTTCCCTCCTCGTGTTCGCTACCTTTCTCCTCTTCCATCCTTTTTTTTTTTTTTTCTCTGCAAGGTTCAAGTACTTCTTCTTCCTTTCCTCTCTCTTAACCTTCATCTCCTCCACCTTCAATATAAAAGAAAGCAGCCCTTGTACGCTCACT